AACATATCCCAGGTCAGAATAATCTGCGTGGAATTCCTTCTGTTTCAAAGCCTGGGTGAAATCCCTTGCGGCTTCATGGAGCCACTGCCTTGCCCGATCCGTCTCTTTGTTTGGTTCAGGGGCTGCTTCGAACATTTCTAAGAACATGAGCGCTCGGTGTCGATACCCGAACTGTGATGGGCTTTTCCTGAGGGATTTGTCAAGCAAATCCCTGGCCTCTGAAAAGCGTCTGAGTTTAACATACTCAGAACCTACCCTGCGAGTGACGATCTCATGCTCCGGGTGGATCTCCAGACCTTTTCTGTAGCAGCTTTCCGCTGTGAAGTGTTGGAGGTCCACTTCCTTCGGGAACGCTTCAGCGATGCTCCTGTGCTTCGGGTCATGATTGACAAGGATCCCGAGGAACACCCAGGACAAAGCTTGGTATACCTTTGAGGTACTAGAGCGTATAACATCAAGGAAAAATTGACAAGCCTTCACGAATCCCTCCATGATCCGCTCATCTGAGTAGCATTCCGAGTGCTCCGGTGCATAGCCTGCCTCAGCGGCAAGTTTTCTGAGGTACAGCATCTGGACGTCTCTCCTATACAAGGCCAGGGCATAGTCGAAGAACCATTCCGCTCTCTGAGGGCCGTGGCATTTTCTTCCAATGGTCGCAGCTCTCTCGATGAATCTCATGTATCGAAAGCACCGTTTCGATTGCTCAAAGTATCGAATAGCATGGGCCTTATCTGCATAGGCCCTCGCTCTTTCAGCATAACTGGGTTCCCTTAGAATATCAATGAGCCTCTGCCGATACACGTTGTGTTCGTGCATCTCACACAGCTTCTTGTGGATGAAGGCAACGTTTCCCAAGGCGTTGATGTTGTTCTCGTCCTTGTCTAGTACATCTTGGAAGAAACCAAAAGCCTGGTCGTGTTTATTGAGGTGGTAAGCGATGAATCCCTGCAGATTCCGGGCAGCGGTGTAGTAAGTCGGGCGGTCCTCGAAGTCCCACTCGTCCTGAGCAATGATCTCTTCCTCGCGGCTGAGGGTCTGTCGGTCGGCAACGAAGGGACTGAGCTCGGTCCAGCTGAGGTGGCAGCCGAAGGATTCTGTCACGTCAACCGCCGAATTGGCAAAAGACGCCGCCATGCCCGCCGGCTCGTGACGAGACACACGAGGTTTTGTGCGGTGTAAACTCCCCATCGATATGATCATGTAAATTGTTGATAGAGGAGCCAATCAGTTGAACCTAAAACGAAGCCAACATTACTCAACCGTTTCCCAGTGAGACGACGATCGAAGTCCACAAACCATTCAAAATTATTAACAACTCCACAGGGTTGTCGACCACCATCGCGCATTACCAATTCAAGAAACGAAACAATTAATGGTTCACGTTGGTGGCCGCTGCACTGCAGTAACTATTTGAAAAAAATGACGGACCAGGTCCAACATCAACATACAGTAAGTCGATACTTGATTTAAGTTTTCCCGTGACACCAAACTTGGTCACATGCTAGTGGTGAAAACTACGCAGACCGCTTTTCAGTTTCACCGCAATATTTTGACTTCCCCTTTCGATAATCACGTGCACGTGAAATCCACTGCGCAAACATCACCATGCGCCATGTCACCGAGGTCGAGTGGTCGTCCCATCCTGGCATTGTAGATGTTGGCATTGACAGTCTCCTACATTCTTGGATTCGCTTCGGTCACATTCATGGAGTGGTCAGGTGGTGGAATCAGACGCAAGAACACAAATGCCCAGACAAGTACTAAAACGACGTGGTCCGGAGATCGGCCCAAATATATACTGTACATTTGCAGTTCAGTCACACTGCAGTGGGGTTGATCAGTGGTTTGTTACGCACTTTCAACTTGCTTTCATCTACATGTTTATGCTTTCAGTGAGCCATAAATATTTCTGTTTGCATTCAGCTGGATGTCACCCGCAGTTGACAAAGTCCTACCTGAAAACGACGAGGGCCGGGAGGGGTTGCACCACAGTTGATTTCACACCCGCGTCGGGTCACCAGTGTCTGACGCCCGCGTGCTGTGCTGTCAGCTCAGAGGCACTACAACTTGTGTTGGCCCAGCCAGTTATGATAGTCATTAAAAAACACAACACGGAACCAAATTTGCACGCGCAATGACAGATATTCATAAGTCATGTCAAAAGTGACCTGGCTACACGGTGCTACCTCATGAGTCATCTGAATACGTGTCTGTGGGACCCACACGCTGTATGTAACACCATGGTTATCCTCAGGCCACATTGCAGCAAAGCTCAGTATGGAGAACTGTTCATTCTGCGTTCAGCAAATAACGCATAACAAATTCCTTCCTTGTCAGCGCACTTTGCAATTTCAAAAGGGGGTTCCAAGGTATTGGTACTTGATATCTTAAAGGGGTAGACAAAGTGTGCCCCAACATGGTTAAAGGCGTTATTAGTTTCTCAGGTTTTGTTGGTTGATGTTAAAAGGAAGCTGAACCTGGTTTGGAGAATGGACATGAAAGTAGCCATTAAGGGTTGACATTATTTCTTCGGAGTTTAAAATATCCCAAAGCAAACAGTAGAGGATTACGGTCATGAGCGCGCCGTCTCCATATAAGGAAATTGTTTACGACTCTTCGCGAGAGGAACTTTACTACAGTAACACTGCTAGTGAGATATGTTTTGGACTTTTTTATTAATATTCCGAGACACAATGTTCCCAGTGTATGCATGCACGCATAATTCAAACAGATGGGTACTCACTCGCCACGCAATACGGCGTTTCACAATAGTGCGCCTCCAAGAGTTTGCGACGCACTGACCAATCACAGTGCGCGCAATCTGTTGACCCAATGCGCATGTAGAAAGTGTGGACAGATTTCGCACGTTGTGATTGGCCGACGTGTTGCAGACTCTTGGAGGCGCACTATTGTGAATCGCTCGTATTCGTGCACATAGCCTATTATGTGTTAGCCTCATTTTACGGTTGCACATAAAGCCAGTGTAAGGCCTACACTTTTATCGACAAATAACTTTTTCAACAGCCATGGCAAGAAATAACCGCAAATGTCGTTGCGGTATAGGTCAAGTCCCTGTAATTCTTCCCAACTGCTTTATGAGAAAATATTTAATTGAAAGCAATGCGTTTCCTGGATCGTGCACCACAAGAATCATAACAGGAAATCGTGTCAAGATCAGATACCATTTCGCATAGGAAAGATACGCGCTGTCCCGAGACGTACATGTATATGTACATGTAACATGTTCGTGTATGTCCGTGGTCGTGCCAATTAAAATGCATGTAATGGAATGGGAATATGAACAGAGAAGGGTGAACTACCAACTAATTGCTGCTTCGGAGAGTTTACAAACGTTCGGGTTATAATGATTTCCCAATCGGTCACTCACCACCATGGGATTTGAGACCATTGATAACCCAGTATCCGTTTAACTGAAATGATCAGTGGAGAGGTCACAGATTAAACATCGATACCCGAACCATTGACCCGGACCAGTAAACGCAAACATGCTTCAAAGAAGCAGGGCAAATCGAGCGAATGGCCGACAGTAGCCAAATATGTGAAACGAAAGGCTGGCAAATACACAATCAAGCACGTAAAACGAGCACACGAACTCAACAGATACGGAGACGCAAGTTTTTACTCAGTATTCAATATCTGCCACACAAAGGAAACTCAATAATTTTTCCCACGACTGAACTGGATCCTGGTTATGTTCAGTCCAGGTATTGCATCGGTCCCAACTGCAGATGGGCAATACCGAACTGCTGTGCTGAAGTACTATTGGCCAGCCACGCACTACTTTGGGATTGTACCGCTATACTTAATTGGGACCGCTGCCACAGTTGGGGAAGATTTCTTTGCGAACGAGTTTGAAATCCAAAACCTGTTCCACTGCCGGAGCATGCGCTAGCCATTTTCAAAGCACTAGGGTAATCGATGTCAACGATTAACAGCGGAATGCTCTTTAAAACTTCCTGTTCCTCGTTATGAACTGCTTAGCATCACCGTTGTACACCATCAAGCCACCACAGAAAACCCTTCACAGGACCAGCATATATCACGTGACATCGTTTCGTAGGGATCACAAGAGTAAACTCTAATCAGCACACATTATGGAATTTGCATAAACGGTACGGGAACTTCAGTAACTATCATACCAATATAAATTTACAATGAAATTTACAATCTAAATAAAAATCTCAGTCTCTATACGATAAGATATCAACATTTTTTTCCAAACTGTTATTTTACAAAATAAGGATGTCTTCTATATGCTACTCAAAGTTGCCAAGAAATGGAGATTGGCGACACGGATATACTTCTTTACATAAGAAACCTTTAACACTTGGAAAGAAAAACCATCAGATATCGGGCAGTGTATTTGGAACGCATTTCACTATGTTTCCCTTTGAGTCGGATGTGACAAATACCACTTCCCACTGGAACTCGCAAGCTTGTCGCTGTGAACAAAAGCCAAGCCCCGGAATTGTGGTGTGTGCTGTCCTCCACAACCAGTGTATTCATCATTTAATGTATACAACCGGCAGGAAGGGATAAACTGGTGATAAATATGATCAACGCAGCATCTCCCTTGAAATCTCCCACTGACAGAGCACTGAACATGTTCAAAATCGTTTGGGCCTACCTATCAAATTAAGGAAATCTGATTACACTGCTTTTGTTTCTGACACTGAAGAGGCATCTAAATTGTTTGGGAGTTATGTGGAAGTGGACATACAGACAGATCGCTAAAAGTGAAAAACCTGGAAAACCAATCGAGAGCTGACGAGAACGTGCATAGGCTACATTTCACACCACTGCCTGTTGTAAACCCATCCGAAACACAGCACTGGTCGAGGACAAAAGTTAGAGCTGCGGGAAAACTACGGCCGTTTCGCAATATTGCGCCGCCAAGGGTTTGCAACGGGTTGGCCAATCACAGTGCGCGAAATTTGTCAACCAAAATGCGCGTTTGGAAAGGGTCGACAGATTTGGGGCACTATTGTGAATCGCCCATATTTTCTGATTTCCTGGCACTGGCTGCAGCGCAAATAAAAAAAATACAATGTAATAGTAAAGCGATTCTAAATATGGTTTGGGGCCAGGAGTTTAGTTTTCAGGTCCTAGTCAAAGAAGCCTACGGCTAGATACGTCACTGAAAGCACGTGACATGAACTAGAGTTGATTTCAGTCGTATAACCAGACGACGTTTCACTCCAAAGTACGATGTACCGTGCCTATAGTCACTGACGATTAACGACCACCCACGCATCTCTGTCCAATATAGCCAAAAGCTGTATCACATGGAGTTATTTTTGATTTTAGTTCCTCAAAAATCTTCGAGAACAAACAAAAATCTGTTTTTATAATGATTTTATAATGAAACACAAATGGGGGCGGGGAGACGGCCCACACGCCAGAGGTTGTATGGGGGTGCCATTTGACGACTGACCATAATCAGATCATAAAAAGTAATACAAACTTAGCATCAGCAGCAGAACGGATTCTGTCACTTTTCTGAAAAAAATCGTCATGTACGTGCTTTCCATGCGTTGATACGAGTGCATATAACTGAACAAGGTACTGAAACAAACAAACAAAAAAAAACCTCTGAAGGTTGGGATTTCTATTCACTTGGAATACACGTAACAGGCTCGTCAAGAAGATACCGCCTGGCTGCCGAAGGCCTCAAATTGTTTACTACACCTTGCTGAGAATTTAAGCAAGACGGTCCCCTTTCAATTTGCTTGGACGTTATTTTTTTTAGCAAAGTGGGAAAAATCGCAGTGAAAGAATATGGTTAACTTTTCCATCGATTTTTGGCTTTCGAAACATAAGCAAAGGTTCACTTGGAACTTTAACTGAACGTATATATGCTTAACGGTTCCTTTTTTTAAAGGAAAAAAATTGCCTTATGTGTTCAAATTGAAACGAATACAGCACCGAAATCGAGAAAAATTTCTTGTTCAGAGGTACATGTACGCAAAATTTCAGCAACTTTGGGCACGCCCCGACCGACCTACGTGCATTTACTCTACTACCGTCATCCCAAAGTCCATGTTGTAAAATTACTGAACCGACTTACCCGTCAAGGTTTATGTAATAAATTATCATAAAATGATTTCATGTCATATTTTAAGAAATCAAAAGGTTTAATAGGTTGTGAGGTAATTTAGCTTGTGCACCTTGTTCATGAGTAAGCAATCTTGAATCGAAAGCCAGGCAATCCCTAAATCAAAAAGAAATTGTTTCGAACAATGATGCAATTTGGGCAAACTATAAATAATTATCCTTAATTTTCAATAGGTGGTTCCAAATTACGGATAAAAAGTCGTGTTACCTTTATTTTCTACATGATAAAAACTGTAGCTATACCCGTAGTTATGCAAACATAGTCAGGCTCCCTCCCAATTCAGGGTATTCACCCATCAAAGTGGATTCAGGGAGCATGCACAATCCAGAATGGCTGTCTCGCGATAAATCCGATGAAGTCACCATGGATTAATGTTGCATGGGATGACGAAACGGTTAACTTCTCACCTTGAATGCAAAATGCTGTGAGGGATAAGCAGAGTTAACACCACGGACGTGTACAAGGTAATAACTATTCCACTGAAAGAGCTTCGCGGAAATATCAGGATTCAAATTCATGTTTCAGGTTTTAGAAATTATTAATACATGTAAAGTAATTTGACTGGGAGACGGGAAAATGTGCATAATTAATGGACGATATGTTGGAGCCCGATCACAACTTGTCAGACCAAGGCGGCACTTATTACTTACTTTGAATAGGATGGGCTAGTCTATGAAAGAAATGAGGACTTAAAGAGTTAATCAGCACGTTATCATCCTTGGGTAAGTTTCCGCACGAGTTCGTCCCAGTGCTGCTTCAGTATCTGACCCTCTTCGCACTCCCGGACCGTCAGGGTCTGCAGAACGTCCGGCACAGCGCTTTCTCGGAGTTTGATCGGCACGATGTACTCCCCGCCTCGCCGGCCTCCCTCCATCACTGCCTGGTTGATGGCAAAGGATTCCCAGCCTGAGCTCGCGGCTGAACTCGGGCGAGGTGTGAGGACGATGACAAACCTGTAGCTCTGTCTCAGACATCTTATCACGTCGGAGGAGACATCCCTGCCCACCTCGAAGTCTCGCCGCTGGATGCTGCCCACGAGCCCGTGCTCCGATTCCAGTTTGTGGACGAACGCCACAGTCCATCGACTGTCTCTTTCCGCGTGCCACACGAAGAAGTCATATCGGTACCGCGTATTCCTTGGATATGCCGGGTCCTGCGATTCCGGGGGATTGAGCTCAGAAGTACGTCTCTTTGAATGAGCTGCCCAGAAGTGGTAGTCCTGAAGAATTCGCACAAATCCTGGCTTTTCCTTAGTGCTATAATGGTCAAAGTCGTCACTGAAGTAGTCCAACTGATCCTCCTCGAGAGGTGTTTCCAGGATCTTCTCTCGGACCCTTCTGGCTTCTTCTAGCTGTAACTCGCTACCTTCCCGCTGGCGTTTTTCCTCCAGACACTGAGCCCATCGCTGGTGGGTCAACACCGGGTCAAAGTAATCGTCCTGCTCACTGCTGGTAGCCCGTTCGAATTTCACCAGGGCCTTGTTGGTTTCGCCCAGGAGAAAATAGGCATATCCGAGGTCTGAGTAATCGGCGTGGATCTCTTTCATTTCGAGAGCTTTGTTAAAATCTTTGACAGCTTCCCGAAGCCACTGTTTGGCATCTTCTGTCCGTTTCTCCTCCTCGTCGGCTGCTTCATACATGCGCAAAAACATAGAGCCACGATGTCGGTAAGCGAACTGTGAAGGGAGTATGTTCAGGGATTTGTCCAGCCAAAACTTGGCCTCTGCAAAGCGCCCCAGTTTAACATATTCAGATCCCACTCTGCGGGTAACAATGTCATGCTCTGGGTGCATGCCAACACCTCTTTCAAAACAATCAGCAGCCGTGAGGTGTTGGATCTCTGGTTCATCAGGAAAAGCCATGGCGATGCTCCTGTTTTCCGGATCGTGATTGACAAGGATCCCAAGGAACACCCAGGACAAAGCTTGATAATCTCTGGAGGTGCTAGTGCGTGCTACCTCTAAGAAAAATTTGCAAGCCTTCAAAAACCCCTCCCAAATCCGCTCATCCGAGTAGCACTCTGAGTGCTCCGGTGCACAGTCGGCCTCTCTGGCAAGTTTTCTGAGGTACAGCATCTGAACGTCTCTCCTATACAAGGCCAGGGCATAGTCAAAGAACCATTCTGCTCTTTGAGGGCCATCGCATTTTCTTCCAATTGTCGCAGCTCTCTCGATGAATCTCATGTATCGAAAGCATCGTTTAAACTGCTCAAAGTATCGAATGGCATGGGCCTTATCAGCGTAGGCCCTGGCCCTTTCTTCATAACTAGGTCTCTCAAGGACACTTTGAAGTTTTTCCCGGTAACGCTTTACCTCGTCAATCTCATACAGTTTTTCATGAAGGACAGCCATGTTCCCCAAGCCATTGATGTTGTTCTCGTCCTTGTCTAGTACATCCTGAAAGAACGCCAAGGCCTGATCGTGTTTATTGAGGTGGTAGGCGATGAATCCCTGGAGATTCCGGATAGCCGTGTAGTAGGTCGGGCGATCGTCAAAGTCCCACTGCTCCTTTACCAGGATGCCTTCCTCCCGGCTGAGGGCCTGTCGGTCGGCAACGACGGGGCGTAGTTCGGTCCAGCTCAGATGACAACCAAAGGACTCTATCATGTCACTGGCCCGTGTCGCAGAGGCCATGATATAGTAGTAATCCCTCCACCCAATGAGTTGATACCCATCGCAGTAATTCAGGCTACCCATGGATAGACACTGTCGATGAGGACGGTGGATTTTGTCATTCAAATACAGTATTTTACTCTACCCTTCGACCCGGCCATCTCGAGTTTTAAAAAATAGAACAGATTCATCCAGATGAAAACTAGAGTCGTTGATCCAATTCACACAGTCATATCATGACACCTCGCTTTGTGTCAAAAACAAAAGAAAAGGCACATGTCGTACACGTCTCAAACGAGTTTTCGAACAGTTCTCTGCGTCGTGACGGCTCTCTTGGATGTCTTCAAGGAACTCGTCATTCGGGTTTGTGGACATTTTGAACGCCACAAAATGATGCCTATAGAGATGCAAGACATCCATGTAAGAGCACAAGTACTGCATATCACTTGCATCCACGATAAACGCTTTGGAAATAATTGAAACTCTGACTCAATCGATTTATATTCGCTGCATGGCAACCCTTGCATCAGCAGGGCCTGGCACACAGCAACTGTGAAGTGTGGTTAACTTTCAGTTTCTGAATGAAGGGTGGGCCAAGCACCTTTAAGAAAATCAAACCCGTCGCGTGGCCATACAAAAACATTCTGCCTGTTACCCGTAGCACTGGCCCGGGTATTGCACTGACACCATCACACGGTCCCGATCCCCAGTCCAAAAGCGGCGATAAAGCAGCAAAGGCGCAAGAAGTCACTCACTCTTTCCTCCGTTGCTTGGTGCATAATTATGACGAGTTGCCTCCAAACAGTATGCGTTAGGTGTTCATCCTGAGGCACACACCCAAACGACGCGCGGCAATGTACACCAGAATATAAGAATGGCCCAGGCGGATTATCGATTAACGTGTCTATAGAAGTACGGTGTGCAGACAGATAAACTCAGTCACCTTTCCTCTGTGCGAAGGATATGCACGTGCAACTGTGTGTCGTCCTGCTCAGGTAAACTGAACTAAACTAACAATAACCGCTGCGAATATCACAATTAAGTTCTCCAAGCTGATGTTGAAGAAATTTGTACTGTACAACGAATCTGTAGCTTCGCTTATCTGATGCAGTCAGGGTACCCGGCAAGCCTAACATAGCTCGCATTGCCAGCCACAGCATAAACAGAAACTGCACTCGCGCAAAAAGCGACCAACAGACGTTGGCATTCCTGCCTGGGACTTTCCATTCTCCATTTCAATACACTGTACTCTTGAGGCTAACCATACGCGTGGAGAGGTGGTTACCCATTGTCGCAAATTTGCACGGCCATGTACGTGCACTCATAGAGGAAGATAAAAGTACACTGTACAATGGACATTAGCATGTACACATGTACAAGTACATGTACATGTAAGTACGCGTAAGCAGCCTGCGAGAAGAGACGGCGACGGATATATGTATATATATAATGCGATTACTAAGCGTGTCAGAGTTCAACTTTCCAGTCTCTGCTGTGAAATCCTTTGCTCCCGGTTCTGTGATTTGTGCCAAATGAAAGTGAAGTCAGGATGGCCCTATTTAACTGGGTTTCTATCAATTTTAGTACCCTCTCCCCCGAAGTAATTAATTTGCTAAAACACATTTCTTCAAACGACAGAGAAAAGTAAATAAATGAAGGGACAGATCGCAGGGGCGGGTGGAAATTTTTTAGAGAATGGTTTAATTTTTAATGCTTGGGCGTGGTGAGGTCGTAGGTCACAGGAATGCTTGTCGGAGTGATTGTGTATATTATGCACACTTGACTGTGTCAAAATTGTGTAAAGGTTATATATCATCAGACCTATAGGGTGTCACGTTTTTCGAGGGGGGGGGGTTACGATGGATCAGTACCACAGGCTGTCCAAGTAAATCATAATCGCTATGTCCCAGGGACCTTCAATGCTGGGAGTGTTGTGTCGCATTTGATTCGAAACATAGCAGCATTAATAATTAATGTGCTTGCCTACAGTCATCATTATGTGCACAGCTCTGAGTATTGTGTGTGATGGCCATCTTTGTTTCGATTGAAGTATGTGCCCTGAAGTTACAATATAGGGGCCAATATCTTACAAAGGTGAAAACCGTCCCCAAAATTTCCTGTGTCTTGGTCCTCGTGGTCTATTCTTTTAAACTGGGCCCTGACTTGAACGGTATGGTAATAATACTATATCATTTCATCACTGCTGTCGAGTCTGCAGTAAATATGCCCCAAACTGCTTGCGCGGACAAAGTCACAAATTGACATGCGCTCAACTTTATCTGCCTATTACTTTTGCAGTCCGACTGGGGGTTCGTAAAACAGAGGGGAAGAGACCACCAATGGGACTCATGACAACTTGTACGTATTTCAGTCTTTGAGTTGATGTGTGTCTTGAAAACCAGAGAAACTTGAGAGGGTTTTCCTGCTTTTTTGAGGTGAGGGTAGTTACCATTATTGTCTATGGCAGGTTATTTTACTGGTCTGAGTTTATCGACTCCACCCATGACCCAGCTACGAAGCAAAGGTCACAGTACATGTACATTACCTACCCCGGAATCGCCATGGCAAGTTAAACGAGTGGGAAATCCCCGGCGTTTCAACTGGGTCAGGCGTTTAAAGGGGCGCGCAAACAATTACCGTACACTACAGGCATAACCTTCAGGTGCGGAACTGGTTAATGCAACTTCAAGTACTGGCCTGGCCTTTCTACTGCGTCACAGGATCGTTGGTGGAGGTTTATCAAGCTAGGTTGAAAAAACGACGTTAGTTTTGTGACGTTCGGTGTTTCTATTTGAGTCATAACTGTTCGGGTTTTGTTTCTATTTAAGGTCTGTAAATCTGTTGTTCAATCCAAAGGTAAATAAAAGACAACAGAGTTCTGTTGTAATATTGTTGATGCTGCTGGTGTAGTGTACAGATGTTTACAGTAATAGGGGTAGTTCTTGCGGGGCTTTTTATTGTGGCAATTGACTCTGTGAATCACAAATGAAGCTGGTTTTCAAGATATTTCATCCCATAGCCTATACGACTCGGCCCGAGATTAAATATGTCTTGTTGAAAATGATTCTTGGTGTAATGTTTGAATTATGTGATAGGGACAACACCTGGGAATTTAGCAATATCCAGCAAGAAACGAGACCGAGGGGTACCCCCTAACAAACATGTTTAATCGCTATTCAAACTCTAGACTTTTGTTACCAAACACGTCCTCCTAGATGTCTGAAAAGAATTCCAGTGAAACAATGACCAACACAAAGCGGCAGGTGGGGGGTTCTCTCCACCTCATATCTTGCTTCATCTGAAATTAGCTGTTTCTTTTAAAAACCCAACTCTACCAAATTCTCTGGATTGTTAAAACCTTAGTTTAGTTTTGTGAATGAGGAATGGGCCACTCCTCCGGGATCGCTTTTCACAAACCACACGCTGCTATGTATTGTCGGAGAAATGCAGCATGGTGGAAACGGTAGAACCTGAAAATCGCTGAACCCGGAAATTTAGTAGAAGAAAAAAAAACTAGAGGTAGTTTGGGGAAAGGGAGCTTGTGTGTGTCACGCTGTTACCGTTGTTTGGAATGGGGAAGTAACAGTATGGCGGCCATGAATTTGCGACACCCGACAGCTCTACTGTGGAGCAGTTTCATCTCCATGCGCACTGTCTGGTGAAACCATTTTGGAAGGCGAAGGAACGTAAGTGTGGGTTCGAACTTAGATCTGCAGAAACAATACTCGATCTGACGCATGTGGTGTATTTTTTTTTGCTTTAAATCGTCTTTGCTGGGAAATGGATTGCTATGATCTACATGCCGGTGTAAAGAAGGTAAACAGAAGGAAATATAGCACAAATGAACTATCCAGGGTCACACAGTATATGGAACAAATATCTGTGAAACCCTAAAGGATTCTTTGAAAAATTGTCTCCTGGGTCTCCACAAGGCGCCATTCCTAGAAATTCCTCGTTTCGGAATATGCTGCCTTGTGGAGACCTAGATGAATGGGTTGAATAGGTCTCTACATCTCTTCTGAAACTCAGTGGTAGGTTCCTTTAATTAATAAAATTGGCTGTTCCAACGTGACCGTGGTTTCAAATCGCTGGTTGAGAACATACACAATTTCTTTCACAGCCAAAGTTCGAGAATAAAACAACGAAAGGAGACCCCCCCAAAAAAAACCAAGCGGCTCTGCATTTTAAATACTTGAATCTTTTTTCTCTCTCGAAATTTAAGGTTGAAAACACAGCACCAGAAAAGGAAGTCTTTGTGAACATAATGCACCAGAATCTCTCTTGGACGCAGGCGCACGTCTATTTATAGAAGCAGGAATTTGGTTCTCGAGCATCCCGCAGAGCAATTCAAACTAAAATCCGTCGTTAGAGTTTGAAGTTTTGGGATTACAACAAGCTGAGAGCTTTCGTGCATAGGCAGGCTACACAAGGCAATTAGGTATGTGACAAACGAAGCGTGAACTATGAGCCTTTTGTGTAAATATAAATAATGTTCTTTTGTGATACTTGTGTATTGACCTTGTAGATACCAGTTACAGTGCGCAGCAAGTCGCGCGGGGAGCCAATAGTGTTACTTTTGTTCCTTGCTGAATTACTATATTAGTCAGGCTGCATTGTCACGCATAGGCTAATTGAAAATAAAAACCAGTAGAAATTAATAAATCACCCTCGGTGTGTTAAAGTGCTTGTACGGTTATCCGGATAAGCATTCACGATTTACGGGGGGAAAATGTCTTCTCAACAAACGTAGGCGTGGGATGTCACCATGATGCACCGTACCTTATGCAGGGTTAATTACGACTTCGTTTCAATCACGCGAAGGTGTGCTCTTACCCATATTTCGCTATAGATACCGTTTGATCACATTAAGTGATTGCCCTTTTGAAGCGCTAGTTTCAGATGTAAGAAGCGCTAAATTCTTCCCATTACATTTGGAATCCACTTGAATTGAAAGAAAGAAGCATTTGGAAGAATTTTCCAGTGCAACATTGCATTTTCTGTCCACTGTGTACTACAATTAAGGTTAAAAATGATCGTAGCTTTAGTTTTTTTTTTTCGAATGAGCGCAACTCCAGCTTACAAAGGCACCAAATTAAGTACGTCAGTCACGGACGTATACAAAAAACCTGCACTTGCAACGCCTTTGTGTGAAAAAGAAGCCAACCAGCGGCCATTTTACCGAGCCGAATACAAAAGCGTGAGCTGGCCCCCTTCTATTGATGTCAGGAAGAACAAAGGCGGGCATTCCGAGGAAAGCTTGTATTCGGCTCGGTAAAATGGCTGCGAGTGGATTCAATGATCTCTATAAGCTGATTAAGGGCATTGCGAGTCCAGACTTTATTATACATGTCCTTGACGTCAGTGGCCAGAAAAATTGCGCCGAAAGAGGTGAGCTTAGGTCGTTCAGCTTAACATCATAGCGAAAGCGAAGCCACTACACTCTGACGTTCGACATGGGTTAAACACGTCACTGACCGAGTCATTACATGTAATTTGGGTTTCATTATTGTAGATTGTAGATTTGCTTAAGACCTATCTGATGAATTTATGAAGAGATAAATTCTCCTGTTTTCTGTGTGACGGATAATATTTTGAAACTTGATTCGGGAAGCTTCGCGTTGATGGTTCTCCACCATCCAGTTTGTTTCTCTCCTCAAAAGTGTAACAAACGCCGACCGTCAATAGTGTCCATATTTTACCGATGATTGTTTCCGTGTTTTAATGGGCAGTCAAAACAAAGTTGCGAGGGCATTCGGTCAAAGTGGTGGGGTCACGTGGACGGAGTGCGCATATCGCTCAGCATCGAAAGTATTGAATCACCGAAAGGGGGCGTAACAAAACCAGATGAGGGATTCGAACCTGCGAGGTCCGGAAAGCCCCACGAATCCTGACCACAATACACAGACTCAATTCGGTCAGCCGAGCACGGTAAGGTCAGAGAGCATGGCAGTGCGCAGGTTTGAGTCCAAAAGAACAAGAATTAAACTACACTAAGCGAAAATACTTCAAGGAATTTTGTACTCAACCATCACTTGGATCTTCTCTTTGTTCACGAATGCAGTTGTCAGAGGCTGCTCTTTGACCCTTTCCCAGCACAGCACTCGGGTCTGTTATCCAGGAAGATGTTTTCTTCAGACGGAAGAGGGTGGGGATATGACGAAGATGAAGAGGTGATAGGTGCGATGGGATGCCATCTAACCTGGATGGATCTCCATGGCATCGATAAGAGGACCTTGACGCTGGAGAAAAAGTTTTTGGAGGGAAGGGATGCTGATTTCGAGACGAGGCCCTCTCTTTGGCTCTCCCTCACCAATCTCCTCGGCTTCGTCTACTACTCCCTGGGACTGACTGAAGACGCCGAGGCAAAATTCGACGAAGTGGTGGCCAAGGATGCGAGCAACATCACTGCCTTGGGGAACTTGACGGTCATCTACAGGCGGCAGTCCCGCATGAAGCAGTACCGAGCCGGTTTAGAGACCCTCCGGGGGCTGCTGACGAAGCGGGACCCCGTCCACGTGGCTCGGTCTTACGCCGACCGGGCGTTCGCCCTCCGGCACTTCCAGGAGCACCGGAGATGTTTCACGTACCTGTCGCACATCAGCAAGGCGGTGCAGTGCGCGGAGGGGGCATTGACGGTGCCTGAGAGGGCCGAGTGGATGTACGACTACGGCTTGGCGCTGCACCGGCGGTACATGCAGATGCTGCACAGCGGGGCCGTCCAAGACGAGCAGGACACCGAACAAGGGATGAGGGAGGTGGTGGAATGCTTCCACCACGTGACAAGAGTGGAAGGAGTAGGCCTGGATCTGCAGGCACTGTCCTGGGTCTTCATTGGTGCCCTCCTTTCGGTCTGTCCCGGCAAGACGCTGGCGGACGCGCTGGACGACGATACCTGCAACTTCACGGCCACAGACTGTTTTGAAAAGGCCCTGGAACTTCAGCCAGATAATGCCGAAGTCCTGGCGAGGACAGGAGCCCAGTTTACAGACCTCAAGATGTACGATCGTGCAAAGGAGCTCCTCGACCGAAGCCTGCACAAGAAGGAGTCTTGGAGCGCCTTGAGGAGTCGTGCTTCCCTGTCCATGAAGATGTACGAAGATCAGGATCAGAGGGAAACATTTTCGGACAAGGACGTCGATGAACTTTTACAAGTTGCACTGTCTGATTTCACTCGGGCGGCGGAGTTGAAGGAAACTCACGCCGATTTCTCAGACCTGGGTTACGTTTATTTTTTGTTGAAGCAGCCCTACAAAGCTCTTCGGTATTTCAGCAACGCCGTCAAGAGTGAGCAGGACGACGAGTTCGATCTCTCCGTGACCCACGAGCGCTGGGCCACGTGCCTGGCGTCCCTCGGGGAGGAAGAGGGCGCCGCGATGCAGTCCACCCAGAAAGAGAAGGCCCGCAGGAAGATGAGGCAGCAGGCGACGGTCCTGGAGGACGCCTGGCGGCACCGGCACGGCGTGAACTGTCAGGGGTTCGAGTGCGACCTGGCCCGGTTCGACTACAGCAGCCAGGACCGGCCGGGCTACGTCAACGTCCTGGGGGACGACCACCCCCAGCCTTCGGCGGACGCAGCACACTACGTCAGCCGTAACCAGGGCGCCTTCAAGTACGACTTCTTCATCAGCTTCTCGCACATCGACAACAAGTGGTCAGTGGCGCTGGTTAGGCGGCTGGAGACGGAGTTTAATCTCAAAGGGAACATCAGGTACCGGGATTATCAACTGGGGGCAGCCATTGCCGAAAACATCGCCGAATCTGTCTCCAATTCCTTTCGCACATTGATCATCATGACTCCCGACTCTCACCGGGACCAGTGGTGTCGCTATGAGGTATTCCATTTTCCTTATTTCTTTTGCAATGTTAATAAGAGTTACAGGTCCAAAGCAACAGTGTTTGTGTGCGGGATGTATACAAGGAGAAACTAACACCGTGGACATTAGAAGATGAAACATCACCATGTAAATTTTATTTTGTTTTCAACATACGGTCCATCCGATAGTCGTACAAGTCATGACATTGTGTGCAGACATGATCCGTCCTTTGAAATGTGTTGCAGTCACTACCAATACTGCTCTCCCATTTTGGCAAAAACACTGGATTCGGTGTTCACAGTCTGATATCCTTCTCAGCGGCTGATGTTCGGTGTTGTATACAAGTCCATCACAAATCCCTGCAAGTCCATCACACTTCACTCTGTCTGAAGCCAGTCCACAAGCTATTCAAATAAACTGCGACAAAAGCATTCTTTTATCCATGTTCACCCTGTTACTTATGACTGACCTTGTGAAAGGACTTGTGGTGGACTCGATGCAACACTGCTAATGTTCATTAAAGGGTAACAGAACTAGAAAATACTCAGTTCACGTGAAGTATTCTAAAATAACAATAAATACGTAACCATTTCAAAACCATCGTAAATGTAACGTTTAACGTTAATGTCAAGTCAGTTTTCAAATGAACACTCACCTTCAGAATCTGTCACGTGTGGTAATTTGTAGGGTTCTCGTAAGCCAAATGCCAAATTGTACTTCCTTTTAATGTAAATTGCTTTTTGAGCGCGACTTCTAGAAGTTTTTGAACCAATTAATGCCTTTCAGGTTCAGCGAGCTCACATGACGAACCTGCAACGACCGTGCGTGGTACCCATCATGCTCCGGCCTTGCCTCGTTCCCAGGGAGCTGGAACACCTCACCTTCATCAGGTGCTACAAGGGGCAGTTCAGGGTCGAAGACTGGCACCGCCTCGGCCAATCGCTGTGCCAGTTCATTCCCGAAGCGCAACCCAACTGGCCGGCAAGAAGCAGAGATGACAATATCGGCTCAACCTGATTGGTCACCTGACTTGTCACACTCAAGTGGCACCTGATTGGTTAAGAGCTGTAAAGAACGGACTACGGTACGTTTCTTTACTTTACACAGTAAGTGGTACTTCTCAACAGGCCTTATTCATGGCGTGGGGGCCATTTTAATCGTGTTCCTAGAATCTGTCGTATTCAGTTGTATGTTAAATTGGGTGGTGCTAGACTATTTGGGGCTACATGTCTCACTTTAACTTTTTAAAAATGCGGCTTAAAACAATTAGACGTAATTAATCACAAAGTAAAAGTTCTTCATCAGATAAACTGACATTAATTTGTCACGCATTTCACTTTAGTGCTTTCATTTTTGTTCAGAGGGGCAAAAATTAAAAAAAAAAAAAAACCGAAAAACTATCCATGGTTTCATTTCAATAAGCCAACGTCTGATGCAATCTAGTTCCAAGAATTTCGCCACAGTCGGTGACGGTTGTAATGATTAAGCTGTTAAATATTCAGTGGCTTCAAAAGGCAAACCTTTAACAACGAGGCATGCTGCAGCGTTTGAAAAAAAAAGTACAAATTCTCGTCTGGTGGCAACGAGAAAGCAGCCGGCAGAAACATCAAAAATCTCCCATGGTTATTCAGATGTATTTTCGAATTCATATTGTTAAACTGTCTACGAGACTTATTCAAAGTTAAACTAATTCTACCTTTATTTTTCGCCATGTAATCTACTTCTGTACAATACACAGAAATATCGCTTAATGTTTAAACTTTATGTGGTATGCTCAATGGTACACAAAGCAATCACTTGACATATGACGTATATAAATTTACAAATTTATAACTGTTCATAATCTAATATAAAATATGTTTATTTTTTAAACTGAGTTGAATTCAAATACTCTCACAATTAACTTATCAAGACAAATACCTTTCAAATTGACATCAATACAAGCATTCGGCAACTGCCGGTAATTTTGCATTATACAAGTTTCCAACAACAAATTCTAGCGAGCGAGGTAAACAAGGAAGCTATTACGAACTTCGCGTTTGATGCCCTTTACTCCTGATTTCCCCCTCCCCCGATAGGAGGCAAAGCCCGATGTCGTCATGACAATTACCTCAAAGTCAACCAAACAAAGCACTGGTTAAATATTACTGATATGCCACGGGACATCAGGTCACAGTTTTGATCAATTGTAGCCAAAGCTATGAAAATGGTTTTGGGTTTCCTTGATCTTGCAACTTGATAGTGTCATGCCTTGTGCATGGTCATGTGACTTGAGAAGTACAGATCGACGTTGCACATGTAAGCACCATCAAAACGGCACTGGCCGATCCATTGCCTATAATGTTGCCACACTCTGTTTATCTGGATACAAGTTGGGGATTTTTCGGCTGGGTCTTTTTTTCTGCCGAGAGATGGTTATAACGGCTCAGCATTTAAATGATGATTAGTAAAAAAAAAGTTCATTGTGACACTAACTGCTCGGGGCAAGTGACATGCGTCATGACCACGGTTTTCCATTGCCCAAAGAAGTGAGACTGGTTGGACAGCTGTCTGCGTAGTCTCCATCTTCCAGGAGTCAATAATACACACTATGGCCGGGTCAAAAATGGGCACTGTGGCCTATGGCTATACGGCTATTGCCCACACAGCGCCAACTGCAAATTCTAAAAGCCGCAGCCCCAAAATAAAAGCTTTGAATCAAGCCCCAAGAGGTATTCCCAACGATCGACCATGTCTGAATGACTTAACCAAGACTGGCAACACCACAATGACTGAAGACAAGGCCACTGGCTGCCAAATAGGTGCACATTATTCCAAGCAGAAGCCAAATGATTTGGAGGTGGCCATCTTTCCACTGACCCCCACCTGGTACCCAGAATACAACACATGGAACACCTTGTGAGGTCACCGTACCTCCCGTTTGCTATAAAATGTACCATGCTGGCTTGAATTACGTGGATCAATGGCAAAAAATCAAGTTGCACACCGTCAAATTTTTCTTTGTCGCTTAATAAGCCGATTTCTCACCCAAAAACGATATTCACTCAGTTTTCGTCTTTTTTTAAGAATGGGCCTCCAACCATGTCACATGCCAACCAGAACAATCATAGCTAAGAATCAGTGGCACCAATTTCGGAAACATAAATACTGTAATAGATATTTTCAGACAAAACCAATAAAAATCCCCCGCTCTCCTTCAAGCGCAAGTGATTTCCTTTCTTGAAAAAAAAAATACTGCTTCTTCCTCTTTCAGCTCAGCAAAGCAACTTTTATCTCCCAATTATGTAGTTCCTGCTTCCTCTCTGGCACGGCAACTAGTATGCATGGCTGACCCCTGACCCGAAGGTGACCCCTAACTTTTGGCACCTTCCAAGAGACTTTCCGGAAAGTCAGGGGGAAACCAGCATTGCATGTGCAACAACGAGACATCTGGAACCGTTACTTGTCTGGCAAACTGTGTTTGCAAGCATTCAAAAATGAGTTTTGTATATTCTAAACATTTCTGCTAATACAGCAAGATTACAAAACGGGCATACTGATTTTGCCAACGGTTACTATTTTCATTGTATGGTTTTGGTATTTTTCCATAGATATTACTACATGAAATCAAATTTTTGCATTTTTAGAGCCAAGTCCAGTTACTCTTTTGTTCAGGGAAGTGGATTTTAAGCTTAGTAGTTTCAGGTTTTCGTCTGTGAGTAGTAATTTCTTTCTGCCATAAGCTGCCTCACATTTTGAGGAGATTCCTGCCATAAAACACACCTTGGTGAATTTGTTTTTGTAATGCGAACGGTGGCTTGGCACTAATTAAGCAACTGGGCACCAGTCATGAGCAATATAAATCATTTGATTTAGGCTGGTAACCTTATACAGAAACTGTATCCTATACAGCACATATACACATCTATGGCTGCATGAAATAGACTGGTGCGCCACCGTCTGAAAAATCAGCGCAATTCCTAGCGAATGTCATCCTGGGTTTCAGATTTTGTTTTCTACAGAAAATGATCATGCTGGGCACTGTTGTTAAGTTGGTGATGTTGGAAAACCACACACACGAACAGACACCAAGGCCCAAATCTTTATAAAACAAAATCAGTTATGATAAATTTTTTGGAGCCAACTTCAGTGAGTTTTTTCAACACTACACAAATAAGGAGGCTGCAAAGATGTGAGCCTGTTACCATGGCAACACCATGCTTTACCTGATCCATCCAAAGTGCCAAATTTAAAAAGAAATCTCTGTAACAGAAATAATCCTTCCAATGAGGAAACAACACTTGCGCTTAGGTCCTAACTTGCTACTACCACCATCTAGAACACACTACGGTCCGCTCCCGACGGAATTACCCCTATCCCCAGCAAGGAGGAAGATTGCTGATTGAGGCCATCAGACCCCAGGCTGAATCCAACAGAATCCAAACAAATAAAGATTTCGAAGCCTGATGAATCCTAAAGACTCATCAGGGTAGGATGATAGGTTTTTGTTTGTTGCTCAAGGCAAAAAACAAAAACGAAAGTCAAAAAACGAACAAACAAAACCTGCTGTCTGACGGGCAACGGATGTTATCAAACACAGCAGGGTACGGACATCAGCCGGTTATTTTTTTTTGAATCATAAATACCAGTATCTCCTTGTTAATGTTTTTTTTTACACTTTAAATAAAGTAAATAATGGTGCTGATGTTTATCAAGCAGGCTTGTCTGATAGTTGGAAAGTATTGCCAAAGGACCCCGAACTAAAACACTGTGCTGTTTGATAGGAACAGTTTCTGTCTTTTGCTAATGTACATGCACTATGCACAACACGGATTATTCCATTTCTAAAAGGGGAGGGTGGACTGGAATGTTGCAACACGCTCATAATATTTAAGTAATAAGTTACAGTTGGAATCCATTGAGTTCAATCTCCTCAAAGAGCCCTCTGCCCCAATATGGTCTCTTCCTCGGCACACTGGAATATGTGTGTCACTTGGATTATTCCATTTCTGGCAGGATGTAGGAAATGTCATCCCAGGGGTGTCTGTACAGGCCCTGTTTGAGTCGCTTCTGGTCCAGAAAGTGGCCTTTAAAGAAGGAAGAAGGTGGAGATTACTTTCAATGTTGTGCACTGAAAACCTTGAGAGTGTCCAGTACAAAGGGCAACGGAACACTGGCTAACACTGGCTTAAGAATTCAGTGTTTGCAAGTGCCACTTGTGCACACACACTGTGCAATAACACTGCACTTAAGCAGGGTTTTATGAAGGGATTCCCCTGTTTGCAGGGGGTCAAAGGTTATGTGTCAAAGGTTATCAGCATGTGGCTGATCTGAACTCTCCCATTCCCACCAATGGCTTCTGCACACCTGAGGGGTCAAAGGGTTAAACTGAAAATACCCTTCCGAAGAGGGGGGGGGAATTATATGTTCCTATGACAATATGCACGCAGGCTTAGTAACTTTTGTGGCTGTTGTACGTGAGTAAAGTGAGGCCTGCTGTGTTGGAGTGTTCTTTATATGCCATTAATGGCTGCATGGTACTATAATGAGTCCTATCCAGTCGATAGTTTTTGTAAGTAGAACCTGTTTGCTGGATGCGTGAATCTAGAACCAAATTAGGATTTTTTTTTGAGGGGGGAGAGGTGGAAATAAGTGATGATTTCTTCCTTCTTGTATTTCTGGTCTCTCTGAGGTGCAAGTCTAAATTTTGTTGTTTTTTTTCTTAAACACTCCGAGGGGGGGAAAGAAATGAGTATTTACCAAGAGGTAATTGCTTTTTGTCAAAAATGTCTCTTTTTGTGGGGTGGGTGGGTAGAGGGGTGGCAATGGCCCTGTTTCCCCCCCCCCTCAGCAGACAGACGTCTACTTTGCAAAAGGAAGCAGGGAACCAGGAGAAGACGGGAGTCCATTTTAGCTGGTTTTCATGCAGTTGGTCTTGACACTAAAAGTGACACATCTGCAAGTTTCTCAAGTTCTTGAGTGTCGGAAAGCGAACAGTCTATTTTTAAGTCTGTTTGGGAGACGAGCATATAGGGACAGCTCTCTAGTGATCACTTCAATTTAAAGCTTCATGACTCTGGAAGCACTGTGAGTATAAGTAATTTCAATGTTCCCCATCTTCACAGTCACTCATACCTAATTGTTGACTGACAAGTTGTTTTTGTGCAACGTTCAAGTTTTGAGCATGCAAACTGAGTGGAATGGTTACCGTTTTCAATAACTCTAGGATTTTTTTCTTCGTTTTAAATATCCTTTATTAGTTTCCATTATCAAAATATTTATAATGCACATGCACTCGAGCTCGGCATAAGCTGGATCGAAACAAGCTGTAATCAGACAGAAATAAAAAGGTCTGAAGATCTACTTGGGAGACTTCAAATGCATTGAAAATGATTGAAAAAACAAACAATTTTATAACAACCCTCGGGAACTGGTTTCAGATTGTTTTTGTCCGATTGTTACCGAGCCAAACATACGTGAAACAAAGATCAAAACTGCTGTATCAAGATTAAATCCTGCCATCTGTTTCATTTCCTTAAAAAAAGGGGTGCTTGCATGATGATTCATGCATGCCCACATTCAAGCGGTCCAACTCCGCTGAAATGTCGACCGGCGTACAATTAAATAGCCTTTGGACCTCATGTTTCAATTCACCGGGCAGTTTTGGTTTCAAGACGACTGCCAGGACATCAGCATAGCATCAGCCTTTTGTCCAGTGGCTTTCAATTTGATTTCATACAAGCAGGGCCTTTTTTTTTAAACTCTGCAATTATTTTGGAAGAGGGATGTCACGATGGAATAGAGTTTCTGTTTTTCTTTGGTTGTGTTTGTTGTTCCGAGCAGAGCAACACATATAAACTGCGGAGTATCTTTTCCAAACAGCTAGGCCCACTTTCACAGCACCGCTAAGCAAATGATTTTATGCTTACAGAGGCTCAGCGTATTCCACGGAGACTGTAAGCAGTAATCACAGCAAAAGGCATGCTTACCGTGGAGGAAATATTTGCTGAAATGTAGTGATAAAACAATGGAAATTTTGATACCTGCGAAACCGCAAGCACAACCACGCCGAGCACAGGCATAAAAAAGTGCCACGGTTAGCAGAATTTGTTGCTACCTTAAGCATGATTTTTCCTGCTAACTGATAAGCAGCGCCATGAAATCGGACCCTAGTGTAACACTGAAACTTAATGACCACTCGGGTGGTTTCAAGTTTATGTAACGTGAGCGGCTCTAGAAAACTGGGTATTAAGTCGCCAGATTCAGGTGATGAAGCTTTGATATGGCTGGATTCTGAACAATTTGATATCATGAGTGACTCCTGAAATGCACTAGGTTCCGGAGATATTTAGACATTTGTATATCCACATTTTCGGATCCAATAAAAGCACTTTTTGAGAAAAAGCTCGTAAAGTGTAGCGCTTGGAAACACAATGCCATGTAGGATTTCCTACTGAATGATCAATTTTTCATCTTTATTCATCAGTATCCATGTTTGTAGTCGAGAAATTCTGAAAATATAAATATCGTAGTAGCTATTAAAGGAAAAAACACAAAATCACATTTGTGAAGAAATTTTGCCCTCTCCAAATAGAACAGGCCGTTACAAGTTTTGGCCCGGGCCGACTTATTACCCTTTTTGTAAAGAGTGGGTCCCATACTGTACATGAAGGATCTATTTAGAAGCGAGAGGCCGGCTAAAATTGTGCAACTGCAGATACGATTGCAGTCTAAAAAGTTTGGTTTTGCCTTCCGAGGGTCAGAAGGTTTCATGTTTTGAAAACAGGAACAAGAAGCAAAAATAGCTGAAATCTTTAATTTCTGTGTTTGGACGTGACTACAGGAAGCTGTAACCCCAACAGTGTTTGTCCTCTCTTTAAAAAAAAATACTGCCCATCTTTATGGTGTAAAAAATTTGCTATAACTGTGTGCTTGGTGTATGGAAATAGACTTTAATTGGGGGGGTGCACCATGTATACTGCAGTTAATACTGGGTCACATGCACAAATACCAACCTAATGTGCTAACTGTGACTTACCAAGTGATTTCTAAGGACGCAAGGTGCTAGAGAAACCTTCAGACAGATCTTAATACCTTTTTGTATGCAAAAGTGCCGATCTTGAAAACGGAAACCTCCAGAAACATGTAATTAATTGAGATTATTGTGAGCTCTGATCTCATTACAAAGGGTTCCAGCATCAAGAATCGTTAGGTCAATTCAATGCAGGAAATTGGAACCTGCAAAAGTTTGACAATGGGACTACTTTTTCCAAAATGTAGACTGGTACTTACCGATAAAGCCCATGCTACGACCAAGTACGAACAGACCATTGAGGGCACCGATCTCGATAAACTCCCTAGCTTCCTCCCTGGAAAAAAAAAAAAGACAGGCCAAGAGAAATTAGCATCCAATGAAAACTCTCGGGGGGAGGAAAACTTCAACCTTGAACCTCTCCAGGTCACTCAAACTCCACTTGATTCTGTAACCATTTCGCAAGACTGAGATCGCTCGAGCCTGGCCCGAATACCTTCACACGGGGCTTGATGACCCTCAGAAATTGAAAATGCCACTTGATGTACCATCGGATTCCTGCAAAGTGGGGAATTTTGAAGGTCGTTGGTAGTTTCTGGAAACACCGCTTCTGGGAAGCTCGGGCAAAGGCAAAAGTGAAACAAGGGCAGCAAAAATACAAGGAAAAAACTGAACCAATTCACAAGAGCTTCCCTTATCAAGCTGAACAACCGGGACCAAATTTAAAGCTAGAACTTTCCTGAGGTACCAAACTGATCAGGCATCAAACCAATGAGCTCAGTTTCTCCTTCCGATGCAGACTTAAACAAAGGGAAGATGGCCGTAAGATAGCATCTCCCTTCTCTTCCACTACTCACTGAGTGAATGCCCCACAATTCCTGAGCAAGTCCACCATGGCAACGCCGATCAGACCGTCCACGTTGAGGATCAGATTCGGTTTCTGTGAGGGAATCAGGAAGGAAAACATGAACAACTCTGATGAGCTATTGCAACCAAACATGGGATATGCCCGACGACTTTTAAAAGTGCTTTAGCGATCACACAGCGCCATCATAAACTTCACTAATAAAAGTGGGGGAAAAATGTTTAGAGTCAGATGCAGTTCTGCAAATAAAATTGACACAACCGGTAAAATTGAACTAAGGGTTGCTAACTAGAACAGAAAAAAAAAATGCAGAGTTCAGGGACGCAGCTAGTTGAAAGCTAACAGTTTGGGGGATGAGGAAAACAACTGATGTACTTCTAATAACATTTCAAACATCGTAGCTAGAAAGGTTTGGAGGAAACGTACACAACCCGAGAAATTTTCTTAATTGTATTTTTCCCGGCAATCATTCAGAGATTTTCTACGAGAAATGAATCCCAAAACAACTGCCTGAATTCAATCCTGTGAATGTCAAGGATTGGGTTGGGCTACGTTAAGATCGTCGGGTCTCACCTTTGCTGTGGTGATCTTCTCCACCTCAAGGGCGTATTTCAGGAGGGGAGCTTCGGGGAAGTGGTCCAGGGCAAACTGCTGCAGAATCACCACTCGCATGTCGGGGTTGTTGATCTGGACAAACGTGAACAGAGACCAAGTCTTTTAGGGGAGGGGTTGTACAAAGGAAAAACTGACAATCGTGGGATTCTGGTGCCGTGACCGAAAGTCCTGGCTATGGCTGGAAATGACGCGTGCTCCCGAGGAAGCCAAATGGCTCGTGGCTGCAGCCACTTCCCAAAGACTTGTGAGTTACTCCCAGCCGTAGCTGCTTCATTTGGACACAGGCTATCATGTCATCCCTGGAGAACCATGACAAAAACCCCAACACAGCGGCAGTCTGTTTTCGCCATTCACCCATTAACCATGCCCCTTAGACAGCCCTATGGAATTTTGTACGCTGAGCTTCTGTTTGTCTCAGATTTTGGTCGTTCTACGTCCATTTTGTATGTCGTGTCACTGGACGACATTTCACAAGCCCTCTTGAGGCAATTCTCCTGTGATAGGTCAATTTGGGTGGTGTCTCTCTCCATGGAAAGTTTGAGAGAAATACTTGGATTTTTCAAATCAACCTGCACAAACGCGATAAGGGGGGTTGTGACCTGAACAACATAGCCCAAGTCATATCCCCTCTCTCTAAAAATAATATCTTTGAGTCAAATGCTTTGGTAGCTATTTTTTGCTATGTGCAGTTGGCAAAACTTGACTTTGGAGTTTACCTCAAACAAGAAAGTTTTACGTTACTATGGTGCTGTACGGTTTGCAAGCTTCCAATAGGTTTTATTCCATGGGAACCAAAATCAAGCAAAATTGAGAGATCCGTGCTGTAATATTGACCAATGGGAGAGCTGGCTTCGCTCATGCATATGTACGAGGTGTAATCACCCACCGATTTCACCCTGTGGCCAATGCCCATGATCAGCTTGTGCTCCGCTCTCATCTTGTTCACAAATTCATGGGGGATGAGGCCCGAGTCATAGGCCTCGCTGAACTGCTTGGCTGCAGCATCCAATGCACCACCGAATCTGTCACCCTGGGGGAAAAAAAAAATCCAGAGGCCAAACAAAAATTTAAAAGCGTTTCTCATTTCAGACGTTGCAAAAGCAAAAAGCATAAGCCAGGGATTTATTGAACAAACTCAAACTTTTAAATATTAACATCAGAGCCATTTGTGATTGGCCAATCGAGGCTGAACAAGAACTTAACAATGTTTCTCATATAAACAGCTCAAAAAAAAACAAAAACAAAAACCAAAACCCAGTGGCAATATGATTTGTTTGAACATTTTCACATGGAACCTGTGATTCAAAGAAGTTCAGAATATTAATGTGAGGGCGTTCTTACAATGGTCAGGAGTCCTGAGCAGAGTGACGATATGAGATCTTTGCCAGCTCTGGCTGTCACTATGGTATTGTGGGCCCCAGAGACGGCTGGGCCATGATCAGCAGTCACCATCAAGCACATCTCGATGAACTTAGTAGCGTAGGCTGGTAGTCTGCAAAGCAGAGTGAGAGAGAATGGCTTGGAAGAACAGCTCCACCAAATGCATTCTTAATAACTGCCAAGACAATAAAAGGCCAAAAACTTGTTTTGTACACAAAAACCAGTCCTAACAACCCTCACCAGTCCAATGATCCTATTGTAACCCGCACCACTCCACTTCAACCCTATCGTAGCCCGACCCGCCCTGATAGTACCAACCAGCCCTACACAGCCCCACCCTGCCCTAACGTCCTTCCTCTCCAACCCATTGGATCTCACCCACCTCCTCAACCCATCGGATCTCACCTACCCCACCCATCCAACTCCACCCAACCTACTCTGCCCACCCCACCTCCCCAAACCACTGCATCTCACCTATACCCCAACCATCCCACCACACCCACTTCAACCAAACCCCACCCCCAGCAAAGCCCTACCTCCTTTGGAACCACAGCAGCGACAGCACCCCTCCGATCCCAATGTTCTCCTTAAAGATCTCGGTAATGGGCATCCCGGCGTAGATCAGCTCCTGCCCCCTCTCGTCACAGATGCTCGTCATGAAGGAGGCCGGCTTTCGAATCAATCCCAGCTCCTATGTACCACACGCACACCCACAAAATGAATCAACTGAATCCGACAGCAATTTATCCACGACCAAACAAGACCATCACAGGGCCTCCTGTCTGAATTTGAGTCACCAGCTATTCAAATAAACTGTTTGAACGGCATTCTGTTGTCAATGTTCACCCTAAGAATTGTGACTGGTCTGGTGACTGGACTCGTAAAAGCATCAACTAGAAGACCTAAGTCTCCATTGCCCCCAAAGGGTCAAAGGTTATGGAAGATTTTAGAAACCTCCAAAATCCCTTGTCCCACAAGGATCTGAAAAAATATGCGACTTACCCTGGCCCACGAGTAGTCCATTGGGACAGTGGGTGGGGGAATCTCTGGCTTGGGAACTATCACCCCTTCTGTCACCAGTCGCTGGTACACCTCACTGAGATAACAGAAGAAAGACAAATACTATCACATCTCAGACAAGAAAATGACAAATGCTGTCACGACACGTGGATGAGGCAAGAGGCTCCCTGGGCTTACTTGATCTTCTTGTCCAAGTCATCAAAGCTGTTGGGGACGTAGGCCCCAGCTACACGCAGCGCCTGGTTCTTGGCCGAGGCCGTTTCACTTTCCGCATTGGCGCAGGCCCCAGCATGCCCAAACTGGACCTCAGATGAGAACATCGTAGCACAGGTCCCGATGCACCAAGCCACCACAGGCTTGTTGATGCGGCCCGTCTCAATGGCCCTGCAGATCTCGTACTCTTCGATACCTCCGACCTACGGAGAGAGGACAAATATTTGAAAAAGAGAATCTTCAAATGGCCAGGTAATCTTTACAGAGCAGGAACAGGCTTTGTTGGCTCTCATGAATGAGAAAGGGTTCTCATGTCCACACTCTGATGAAAAAACATGGGCCTCAGCTCTTTGTGAAAGCAACAACAGCCAAGAGATGGACACGTTCTTGGTAGCTACTGCTACGATGCTTCCCAGCGGGAATGCAACAGCAGCACTCTGGTCAGCTTTTTGTCAACCACTACCAACAGATACGATCCCGCAGCTATACTGACTTATGACTGGGTGGGGGGGTTGAATATCTGGAAATGGTTGTTTCTTCAGAATGAAAAAGAATATTTTACAGAGGACGTTGGACGGTTACCTCTCCTAGCATGACCAGCATCTTGACATTTGGGTCGTCATGGTAACGGAGGATGTGGTCGCCGAAAGTTGTGCCCGGATACCTGTGATGGAGAGCAAGACAAGAAAATCAATGTAATTTCATCATTTTTATCAGGATGTCGAGGTTAGAAATTCTCAGCCCTTACAATTTCACAGCCCTAGCATCACAAGATGGCTACACTGGAGTCGTGACCTCATCTGCAAACCATCCACATAAATGCAACGAGAAATCAACCTTTGTCGTACCTATCCCCGCCGATGGCAACTCCCTCGTACACTCCGTCCGTATTGCGGGAGATAATGTTGTTCAGCTCGTTGGACATACCGCCTGAGCGCGAGACGTATGACACGCTGCCCGGGCGGTAGAGCTTGGAGGCCAGGATGTTGTCTAGCATGCCTCCTGTGTTGCCTATCTTGAAACAGCCTGGCTTGATTCCGCCCACCTGGAACAAGGAATCCCACATGTGACCCGTCACGACAAATTGAGAGTAAACTCGCATCCCTCTCTCGCCTATTTTTGAGGGTTCAAAGTCATATTGAAGTGGAGGTCAATCTTGAGGTTTTTGTAAAATTTGGAAAGAGTGACCCGTCTTCTATTTAATTCCAAATATTTTGCAGAATCACATATTTAAAAGAGTCATTTTCTCAGCAATTTGGATGATGACATTATTCGTGCCTGGTCTGAAATGTTGAAACAATGTCGGGAACAAAGAAGCAAAGCTGCCAGAATAATGCCTCACTGTCACCTTATACTTCTACCCTAAGTGTTCCATGTACATACCATTGGAAAGCTCTCTTTCTGCTGAACTCAAAAATACCAATATCCCAGTTTTTGAAAATTCCTACTTTCAGCTCATTTTGTGGTGACATATCACATATTGGAAACTCAGAAAACGAATCACACAGTGGGGGATGCGCGCAAGGTGAACGATGCGTTGTCGTCTCACTCACTGCTGTTACTACACCCGTTCACTCTCAATCGTTGGGGTCAACAGCTGCACAACTGAAAACAGTTGGAAACAGTTGGAAACCAGACAGCGGAAACATGCAGATCCCAAAGGCTGTCTTTTGAGTGACTGGACCAGCAACTAGACAAGCGTGATGCAGCTACACGAATGCAAGCAGTGAACGTATTTAAAGAAATGGCCATTGAGTGTTTGTATCAAACTGCGCTGATGTTCACACTCAGCCCAAAGGAATACATGTAATGTGGGTCACTGATGTTTCTCAAGGCGGAGTGTTGTATGTATGTGAGACATTTTACAGATTTTCGCTCTTCTGAAATTGATATGCTCTGATTTTTCGGCCTTTGAAACTAAAAAATTTGAAATGGTTCTGAGTAAATCAGGACACTTGGCAGGTATGTATATATGAAATAAGAAAAATTCCTCATCTGCAAAAGTTACAACAAAAGGGGAAACTATACATCCTCACTTTGAAACTTGGACCTACCGTGGCCGGGCCTATGATAGTCACTCCCTTCTCCTTGGCGATCTGGATCAACATTCGTGTCTTGTTTTCCGGGATGCCCTCCGCTATGATGGAAATTGTACGAATCTGTGCACAAAAATATCATTGAATTAACCATGGCAACTCAAGAATCCTTCCCTCTTCCGGTTACGTCTTTCTTTTCTATCGACTCGCCTCAGAGACTCGGACCTCTGGCTTCTGTTTTTGGCCAGATTTTGGCAAGTCTGAAGTCAAATGAAGTGATTTGTCACTTGAGCCATACCTTGTCCCTTCCCAACTCAAACTCAATGAGCAGCTCTCTCCAGATTACAAACACCTCCACAGGAGTGAGATTAGAGAAAAATAAAATATCCATAAAATGACCACCAGAGGTGATCCAAAGTACTGTAGAGTCTATGGTAAACATATATGTTTGCCAGGCTGAATACCAATTTCTAGCCTTACATCACTTTTTTGGATGTAAACACAGATTAGCGGTAAACTCAGGATTTTCAAGAAGTTAAAAGAGACTGTTCAGCAAAAAATCCTGAAATCTGGAAAAACCCGACAAAAAATTCTGGTATCAGGAAAAATCCATGCCTCCAAAGTTAAAAAACTGTAGTTTTAAAACTGTTCGAGAGAAACCACGTGATGTGCCTCCTACTCATCTTAAAATGCACACGTTAGATGCTGCGCAGCAAAGGCAGACCACAGAGAAACGAGACAGGCGCAAAATGGCAAATCCTGTGTCCAGCCTGGCCCTACAAGTAACTCGGAAAAGGCTAACGAGAATTGTTCTCGCTGTTGTCGACTGACCTGTGGGTACTCCATCGTCTCTATGGTGCTGTCGTACGCCGACCGGAGTGAGGCAAAGTTGATCAGGGTGTCCACGTCTGGATGTGTCTTCATGGCTGTCTCCATGCTTTTATAGACGGGGATGAGGATCTCCCGATGGCCCCAGTAGAACTTCTGTTTGTGGTCACCACTGGAACGACACAAAAACAACTTTTATTGCAGAAAATATTCAAGGGTATTTTATTAGGAAGGTAAAAAACAGGCCATCGATTGTTCGTCACTAACGTGCAATGTAACTATTCCTATCGATCAATGGGTGGGATTATGAGCAGAGACCTGAAACTTGTTGTAAAATGTCTTGCTCATGGACACAACCTCCATACACCCCTTGGCTTGAGACTGCAGTGTGTAGAAATTACCAACAGGATCCAAACATACTAGAGTGTATTTCAGCACTCCAAAGAATGAAAACTTTGAAGAACCCGTACCTGAACGGATACACCATGCCGACAATCGAGGGCTCTTCACGTCGGCAGGAATGGTCAAAGTCCAGCATGCCTTGGACGGCTCGTGGCTGCATACCGTACAGCAAGCTCTGAACAGATTAGACCAGAAAAAAAATCACAAGATGTGCATTCTCACGGGAAAATAAGATCACTAGTCTTGACCATTTCAAAAACTGATTGCTAAAGCTGTGGGCTTGGGCACGAGCCGCTTGAAGAAGTCTTTTGCAATGCTGTGATTCCACACGAACCTTTGTCTTATTGGTGAACAGTGGCTTCTGAGAGCTTGCATCGCCGCCTGCGACATTCCCCCCAGTTGCTTGGCCGAGACCACTGTTGTCACTAGAGGGCGTACTGCTCGCAGAGTTTGCGGTGCTGGAAGAAGGCTTGGTTGGAGGCTTATCCTGCCAAAGAACAGTCAGTGGACCAATAGAAGTTTTAATGCTTGAAGAATGGCACATTAAAATGTACACAAATACAGTGTGGATGAATCTGAAATCGCTCTCTAAGGCTATGGCTACTACAGAGGACCGATACAAAGCCACAGCCAAAAAGCCAATATTTCTGTCATGGCTTAATAGCATGTGAAAAACCTCAATTCTTTCAACGAAATCACTTTAAGGAATGCTTTAAGCTAAGCTGAGCAAGTTTTGGAATTTCTGTAGACTTGTCAATTCTGACATTAACTCTTAAACAGTTTCTTGAAGGCTGCTCTTAAAAGCAACCAGTGAGCAAGGAAGACACTTGCTCAGCAGCGCCAGGTTACCAGCTAATGTATATCATGAAATATATAATTGCTGTGACTGGTTCTCGTCGAAACTTCGCAGAGGACAGAAATTTGTGGAGAAATACGATGAAATTGGACCCTGCAAGCTATGACATTTTTATTCATCCCTTTACAAGTAACTGCTCAGAGGAAGATCCCACTACATGCTATTCACTTGTAGTGGTTCCCATGGCTTTTGTCAAGTCCATCACAAGTTGTCAGCCGAGTCAAAAGCTATTCAAAATGAAACTGTGACAAAAGCATTCCTTTGTCATTGTTGGTCTTAAAACCGGTGACTGGACTAGTGAGAGGTCTCGACTACAGCTTTGGCTATTTAACACAAATATAAAGAAACAACAAAAAGCGAGAGAAATAAGACAATCATACAATTTTACTACATGGTGCCACCACCAGAACACTCGTACTCGTCTTTTACATAGCTTGTGCAATTCTACTAAAATTTTACAAATGGAGGGAGGGTTTAATAGTACACATGGAGACGATTGTTTCATGAGACGTAAATTACTGGCTACTTTGACATTCATCACGGATACAACATGCAACATGTACATGTACGTGGTAGGCACCAATAATGCACTGGTTGGTTGATTGCACTAACGGTGCACACATGTAGAACATGCATGTGGGACAAATTTTCCACTGAATGAGCACAAAAGTGATGTGAATGCTTTGAAGTCTGAAAGTTATGGCTACGACTGGAAATTACACAGGTTCCTATTGAAGTCGCTGACTTGTGGCTTCAGCCACTTAATATAGACATACATGTATGTATCTTTGCTAGCCATAGTCAAGACTTTTGGACACAGCACATTATCTTGACATTTTCAACAAAGATTTTTTGACCTCTCCCAAAACGCTCCATATTCCTTCAGCCAATAATGCGTTCAGAGTTCAATAAAAATTCTTTAGCAACTTGAATTTTTCATTACATGCAACACAAAGTATGGTGCCACTCCTGCAAGTGCGTTCTTACGGTGGTAAATGGATAAGTCAGCCAAGATCAATCTACTGGACCAGACTAAAAACGGAAATAAAGGGCGAGGAGCCAGCATCTCGGTGAGAAGGACAAGGTTGGGGGTTCAGAAGGGAAAATTCAGAGGGAAACATCTCAGTCAGGCCTACTTACTCTTTCAGGAATCTCAACGGTCTTTTTGAACTTTTATGATCAGCGAGGGGAGACAAAAAGGTCATCAGTGACAAATTAACTCACGAATACGTATGGTATAAATACAATCAAATTTAAATCAGCACCGATATGAGTGACAAGGCGGAATTTGGAAGTCATCTGAATCAAAACTGACGCGTGATATAATGTAATAACATTAATCGACATCTTGAGATGGACAAGGCCACTCACAGCGCTTCCGGCAAGCAAGAAACTGGCCGTGGTCTGGTCCTTTTCTGTCGGGACGGAAGGGATGTCGCGTTTGCCCAGCGCCATGCCGACGATTGCGGTCATGTGGGTCTCCGTGCCAAAGACGTGCATGGGGACACCGAGCGAGCTCCCTACCAAGTGAAAAGAAATCATGGACATGTTGGGAGTGTGTTTGCATAGGTGCAATTCCTGTACTACTTGTGAAAAGAATTCAATTCTTCCGTTTGTCAATGAGTTTGAAGATGGGTATATAAATGGGTGTGAGCACTAAAAGACCAGGTTGAGTTGATCACTCACGTTTATAGTTGCAATCAAAATGCCATTTAGATTATCATGGCAGAGCTGCACTTCGTTCTTAACGACATGAAAAATTCCCAATTAGAAGCAATGCACAGTGGATGGCGACAGTGGTCGTCTTCCACCGGGTACATTTACTTCAAAGGTCAAGTCACTGTCTTACCCAATTCTCTCATCACCCTCAGCCCCTCCTGGTAGTTGGGACCACCCCTCCGGACGAAAATGGACACGCCGTACTCAATCAGCTTGGCCTTGTACTCTTTGAGAGCCCTGACGATGCCCTGATCAAGGAGACAATTGGAAAAAAAAAAAAATTACTTCCTCTGTTGAGAAGATGATGTCATCTGGCCGCTCAACTGAACACAGGTCAAACATGAAATGGTGTAACTCATCTTGAGACCAACTACATACAAAATGAGAAAAAATGCTAGTGACCGTTTGTGTAATTGGAATTTACCTGGTAATAAATTGACATCGAAGCATTTGTAAGTTGCACAATACTGACAGTATTTGTCATTAAAAGGCGATCACACAACGGCTAAACATAATCACCATATCGGCCCTCAGAGGTACCCGTTTACTCCTGGGTGGAAAGAGGCACATAGGGGTGAAGCGACTTGCCCGAGATTACAATACAAAACCACCTGCTAGAATTTGAACCCCCGACCCCAGGATCGCAACTTACAAACCCTTATCACTAGGCCATGTGTTCCCCTGTGTATATGTATACATGTGATGTGGTAGCTTTGTGCATGAAGTTACATAGTTTCTTCAAAGTGACACAAGTTGGCTTGCACATCGATTAGGTTGGATTACGTACCTTGAAAGTGGCGGCCACGTTCGTGAAGTTGGCGATGCCTCCGCCGATGATCAGCACCTTGCCGTCCGGATGTTTCTCACGAGTCATCAGGCTGAGTATCGTCTTGGCATACTCGTAGGTCTGCTGCTCACTGGGCGCTCCTGAATACTCGCCATAATTGGCAAGCTCCTTGGCCCCTCCCAGGTCACAGATTGTGTCGCTGAAGGTCAAAGGTCAAATACAAATTACAGATGACAAGCCCCCCCAAAAAGGAGTGTGTTTAAAAAATATAAATAGATAGATATCATAGATTCTACTGTCTTCATTTTGGCTTTGAAGCCTTCTCAAAAATGTTCCAAAGGACTTGAAGATTTTTAACAGGTGTAATCAGCATGAAGGAAAGTGGCCTTGGAACTTGGAACTTCAAGAGGTAATTTTAAGCACACTGAGGTACTGAAACAGAATTCAGACAAGTGACACAATCTGGGCAAAGTTTTTGTAAAAACAGTAACTGATGATCTGGCAACTGAGTGTTGGATTGGATTTTGTGGCCAGGCACCTAATGCATTTTGGGAAATCTGTCTTGGCTGTCTCCCCTTCCATGTTTCTTGTCTCTACCTTTCCTCAGGCTAGCAACGGCCACTCTGCCAGGCAGGCTCTAGGTTTCCAAACCAGAAAGAGAAGGAAACAATACCTGTATATCACCGAGGCCCCGCCCCCAGCCAGCATGGTCCAGATCCGCCCATGCTGATTCAGGATGGTCAGTTTGAGGGAGGCGCCGCTCTTGGCATCCAAGTCAGCAATGTAGGCCTCCTATGCACATCAAACGCCAAAGAAGGCAGGTTACCAGGGAAGACACTTGCATCACAGCTACTCTTCATGCAGTGGACGTGCAAAATTTCCAAGTGATACTGTGTACCACTTTGACGGTGAAAACAGGGTACCAGTCGATAAGTAAGAGGCACAGCACTTGACAGACAGTGCCAAACAAATGAATATAACTTGCCAAGTGAGACATTCTTTGTAAGGCCTCCCTGTAGAGTTTGCCTTTTCTTTGGAACAGAAATTTCTGTTCCTTTTTGTACAAGAGCTTGAACTGGTAAAAATGTCGTTACAACATTAGCCGATTCACCAGTCCATATAATGTACCAATGAGCTGGCTAACTCAAAATACAGTATTGATTCATCTTGTTGAGATTTTACACTGGAGTCATCTGATATGAGCTTCATTTGAAGAAAAGTTGGGAAAAATAAACCGGTTTGCACTTGTCAACCAGGGGTACAAAACTTTATCTTTTACCAACTTAGCGCTCATTAAGTCCACAGAGAACTCTAGAAAGCTGAGAGGCCACAGCAAATTGTTTCTGCTCTTCCTACAAGACAAACTGGAAACTGTCTCTAGATTTTTCTAACGGTCAAACCCTGCAAGGGGTAAAAAAGCTCTCCCCAACAACTTTACCTCGGGGAAGGCCTCCCGCCCAAAGGGCGGGGGGTACTCGATATCGCCCCACTGGGCCTTGCAGATGAATTCGGCCGTGGCGTCAATCTTGGCAGCCAAGTCAAGCACGTAGACCTTGTCGGTCACAACTGTACAAGGACAAAAGGACGCACGTTTTCATTTGGAACTTGGAACAAACCGTACCCAGTGCACAACATCCTACATAAGCTGACCAAAAACCAATCTCAACGAATGAAAGAACACCCAATCTACTTATTAATATTGACTCTAACCCTACATAGTACTAGGAATTACTAGATGTAGTAAAACGTAGTATTCAGTCCTGTCCCTTGTAAGAGGACGTGACCTTATTGTTCTCTGAAGCCATAAGATAAAATAGAAAAGACAATGTATCATTCAGTGCTGAGGCACTACGAATGCATGGCTTTATTGTTCTCTGTACAAGTAACAATGGAAGTAACCTAGCCAGAAGTAGTAATCTGTAGCGCTAGGTCCTTCAGGCTCAGACTATTACTTAGTATTTTGTAGTACTGTGTAGTGCGAGCCAAACAACATGCTTAGCCGTTAGGGTTAACGTGCGCAACGATGAACGAAAAAGTCGGAAGTGAATTCCATATCATCCCTGTGCTACCATAAAAAAGTGACCAAATTGTCTTTCTAAAGAAGTTTACAAATGACCTTTTTTCTAAGTTTGGAATTTCACAGATACCATGACCCCTGTTGCCGTGATATGTTCCGGGAAATTGTGCCGAGGGTATTTGGATGCTTCACTACTGGGAGAAACCTTCATGCAAAATAAAATGGCTTTTTCTCTTGAAGCAAGTTAGGGTCTGGATGAACAGTCAAACAGAAATACACCATGTCTTGTTTGTGCTGGTCTTTCGCTGGTACAACTCCGTCAACCGTTCCCGCTATCAATCTGACGCTGATGTTCTGGACAGCACTTCAGTAAATGAAGCTTCCACAAAGTGGGCGGGGCATGGCAGTGAGGGAGGCACAATGACGGTCTACATACCTAGCGGGTTAATCTCCAAGTAAGTGAAGAACAGATCTCTATATTGCTGGTACAAAGCCTCCACAAACTTGGCAATCATGCTGTGGGATGAAGGGAAACATCATCTCAAATTTCTATAACCAGAAATGATTGAAGTGTAACCTGAAGACAAGACTTACAAAGCCTGCATGCACATTTTAGTTTTATCCCCTATTTCTGCGTTTGCAGTTGTCAGTTCGACATTATAGAGATTATAGAATGCACATGCTACATATTTTTCATTTTGATGTGCACAAGCAACTCATAACTAAAATCGCTCGAGTACTGTTACCAGTGCAATATAAACCATATCTAGGACTATTTCCATTGCTTATAACCATCTTAGAAAGGAGGAAAATGCTCTATATTGTCATTTTTTTTTTCAAAGCCACCTACTCCTGTTTTTCAGATGGAACTTTGGCAAGCAGCTTCTCCTTCACGGTGCTGGCTGTCAGATCTTCGGAGAGCCCAACTTCATATTTCACAGCCTTGAATCAAAAGCCACCACAAAATCAAACAGAATATGACGTGATTACTTTTTATTTCAAAAACATAGGAAAACTGTCCTCCTGAGGAACAGTTTTCGAATGCAAGTTGGCTGTAGGTGACAACTTTTCATACATGATGGGATTAAATTTAGAGAATTGTTTACATTGTTGGTCATCTCCAGCTTTGCACAATTCCGTCTGGCCTCAGGCAGTGTGAGAAGAGGACCACGAGTTGCAATAAACTATCTTGCACAAGAACACAAACACAGTGAATCGAGATCACACGGCTGGATTTGAACTGACATCGTATCTGCGGCAAGCATCTCCAGAATGCACAGCCGCATTAGGAATGGGGCCGAATCTTGTGTCTGCGGCTAGGTCAAGATTATTACACATTCGTGCAACCACACATAGCCGTAGCTTCAGGAAGCGCGATTGCAGAACTAGCCTCACCTTGGCGTCCACATCCCCGATGTCCACCCCTCCCTCGTGGTGGAACAGGATGACGTCGCACGACCGCTGGCAGTAGATGCAGACGTAGACCTCATCGGCGGGCTGGTGGGGGATGAACGGCTCGATGATGAAATTATTCAGCTTCCCTTTGGCCTCGCCGATCTGTCAAAAAGTGCGAATCAAAAAAAAAATGAGGGCTGGCGACTCGGGACGAAAATAAATCAGTGATGGTGACTTGAAGACACTACGATAAAATATGAACCGCATCCTCCAGTTAAAGCAAACAGAAAAGAAAGAGCTGTTTTGGAGAGTGTTCTGAAAAGTTTAAAGGACCCATGCAATGAAATCTTCTAAGAATCACTTCTTTGTGCATGTTTAAACTCTTCTTCAATGTGACAACTGTTTGAAATCTTTTTGGAGTTGAGTGAACTGTAAAGTGCACTTTTTCAAATACCCGGATTTGACCAAGCTTTCCCAGACAGGTGAGGGCACTCTTGGTGTTCTGTAAATCCAGGATAACACTCTTGAATATGCAAATTCATATTAGCATAAAACCCCCAAAAGGCCCCCAAATACAGATTAAAAATAACAAAACAAAAACCTAAAAAAAGGTTAATTGAAACACAAAGGTGCAATTTCAAGGATTTTAGTAACCCATTTCTATTAAAGTCGGGGAGGAACAAAGGAACAGAAGGGGACCGCAAACATAAACTTACGGCAAACTCCTTCCCCAGTCTCGTTGACAGCCATTCCTTGACGCCTCCCAAATCGACGCCCACCTTGATGAGGCCGAGCTTCCCTCTTCGCTTAATCAACTGATCCGGTTTCACCACCAGGCGCTGTGAGAAGGCGGACAGAGAGAAACTGCATCAGGGATGATTGGGAGAGGGGGCTCTTCAAGGAAATCGGGGTCCGTTTGCGAGGAGAGATTTCTACACCGACCTCATAATACCCACAAGGGCCCTACAAATACAAGTACATGTATCAGGAGGAATGATGTTGTTTAGTGCGAGTGTCTTGATGTCTCTTTAGTTACTCGTACCCTCTGTGTGCAGAGTGCAACATGTAGACCAAAGCTGACGCATTTTCCAACCTCTCACAGTTATTTTGTCAATCCTTAGGGCTGTGCTGAATATCCGAGTATCTGATCGATTAGTGAATCTCATTTTCCGTATTTCAACAATCAAATGCAAAAATTTATGAAAAGGGAGACGGGAAAACTTGCACTATGTAAGCTTGTTTCAAGCAGATTTAAATGAAAAGTGACAGAATAATGTATCTTACGATTCAAAAAGTAAATTATTATTATTATACATGGGAAAGTCAGAGTCCAAATTTTACTCAATTTATTCTGCTAATTTCATTTTATTTGTGTTATCAGATTGCTATAAAAAGTACAGTCATGGACTCTGTCGATATTCAATGAAGTGTATGAATGCAAAGTGAGGAACACTTCTCTATAAATAACTCAGATATATCCAATGGCCCAATTTCAGTTAGTGTCCTCGCAAGAAATGTGAAATGGTCTAAACTTTTGAACTTCATAGTTCAATTTCATCACCAAAGCACACTGTATCATCATAACTTGAGGGTTGCCTTTTCTAGCGACTCTAAATAGGTCCTATCCATATTTACACCTTATCTTGCTCTAAAGTTAGATCTGGTGGGGCTTAAAATATCACGCCAACTGATAAGAGTTCAAATCAGGTGATACCTTGATGCATGCATGGGTCCTTGCTGCATAGTTTGTTCATCAAACCAGGCCAATGGTAGGCCAAGGGTAGTACAGTCTTCTGCAGTCTTGGTGATGTTTCAACGAATTTTTTGGGGGGAAATTTCTGAGGCCAGGGGATGCAGGACAATTCCTTTCAGAAGTTGATATAGTCATGCTGTTACTGACCTCATTGTAACAATAATTCATGAACAACGACAGGTTTTTTCGAAAACGGAAGTGCAAACAAAGGTAACATTTATTTATTAGTTTCACTTTAAAGCTTTGAAAATGTTTTTTTGTTGTCGAACTACTAACGAAAATGAGGTCAGTCAAAGTGTGACAAATTTCCACTTTCGAATTGCGTTGCCCAAATATTAGTCCAGCCTTTACATTTCCTTTTCTTTAACAGGGGAGGCACACACAAAAAAATCCCACAGACGTAGTGGCACCTCCACAAGAGAGATAAATGAAAAGTTACCAGCAAGAAAATCTCTACACTACCGAAGGTGTTAGTGCGTAACTTGAAACTGATTTTTACTGCTCAGCAGATATGTTTCAAGCCAATTTCCAGCTTGTCTGGTCCATAAAAACCTGAGCATCAGTTCCCATGCCAAACAGCCTCCTGAAAAACAGGAACAGACGGACCGAAAGAGAGTCCACACTAAAAAAATCAATACATATTAGCCCCGGGCTGTGAATATCTTGCTCAGGTAGTCACATATGATACACCCGTTGCTCCGTCGTTCGTTGCATTTATGCACGCGTCTGGCTCGTGGCTGGTCGTACCTCAACAGTGCTGCAGTCAGAATGCAATTAGCATGCCACGGTACGCAACTATTTATTTACGCGTTCACGGGCGCAAGCTTTGTCACTGTAAAGAAGAAATCCCCCTAAAATCAATGTTTTGAAACGATGGTTTGAGAAATTCATCAGCAGCGTTAAATTAAAAGTGCCATGCTATGCAGCCGTATTACAGATGCAAGAGAAATGTTTTCAAAAGAATTATTTTTTTCCCTTTTTTTTCCATTGAAGCGAAAGAACCTAACTGGATGTTAAACCCTACGTGTATGTATACACCAGCTGTTTTCTGTTTACTTATCTCTCTCATGCTTGTTTGCCTTTCAGGGCTGGCATAAAATGAATGCATTGCTTTTGGTATGAAGAGTACTCGTGTGTGCTGTACTCACAACAGCAGATCCTGAACCAACTTTTTTTTATGTAAATGTAGTCTTTATGGCATTTTTCAGGCATGAGGCTAAACTTAGAGGCTTTTTGTAACACGGGGGGGGAGTATGAATATTTGAAATGAATATTTGCATTAAAATGCTTCTGATCATATTGGGGAAAAAACCTCTCTTGAGGGAGGGCACGGTCCCACCGGCCTCCTCGTCGTTGTGAACCTTAACATGTTCATCTGTGACAAAATGTTTTTTTTTTTCAGCGAGCGCATTGCAATACCAGCATACAAAATCTCCTGCTGATCGGAATGGACATTTCGGGCTCGAGCTCATTTATCTTCTTTTGGGGGCATTTATCTACATGTACACTTTGCCCAAGGAGCAACGTTTGGCCAAGTGCACACACGTCTGCTGGGGTAATCAATCATCTTTCGAGAGGGGAACGACTCCAATCTCATTTCCAGGCTCAGGCTGCCCAAATGCTGACCCTTGGCAGAGCGCCACGTGAACCTACATGTACATGTATCTTTGTGGCGGCCTGTGTGTCTACATTCTGTAACGAAATCCTCTTGCTGCGCTGATGCCGCCCAGCCTTGTAAATCTCATTAGCAGTATTTGCCAATTTTGATTTCAGTGAAAAAAAAACGGCAGCAAGTTGCCCAGGGGCCAACTATTCCTGCATATTTGGCGCAGAATTTATAAGCAATTTCTACAATCTGCAAGAAATCATAAAATTATTTCATAATTCGATTAGACCTTATTAGGGACAAACCAAGATACATGTGCCAGACAACTCTCAACATTGCGTGCAAGTCAGATGATATGACTCACGGTGTTAAAATGATCGCACTAGCTAAGGGATCTGTGCTCATGAAACAAACTTCCTGAAACCTGTTATTGTGAAAAGTTGCAGTTCTAAAAAAGGGTGGAACCATTACACGTTTAAACATGTTTAAATGAAAAAAGTTCCAAATCCACTTACTGACTTTCCCAAACATTTAAATGGAACCGCCCCCTTTTAGAGGCTTGACATTTTGATTGAAGCAATCTGGCGTTCATTTTTATTGCAAACAATGCCTGTAAAATGTAATCTGATTTTCAGAACACGTTACTGCTCGGTCATATCAAAGGAATTCCATGAATTCATCAACGGAACTTTGTGTCAACTATTTACATTGTGTGCAATTCATTGTTTGAATGACGCCGTGATGAGGGTGAGACAGACACAGGTTAATGGTGCAGGGAAGTTTTCAACCTTTTTCAAATTAAATGTAAATCCCACCAGTAGTTCTAAACCAGGCAAAGAACTTTCCTTGTCAGAAAACGTCCCGGCTTCCAAGGATTTTCATGGTGTCACATCGTGTACTTTCAATTAAGCGAACAGCGAAGCTGTTCAGATGGTTGACAATAAAACCGAGGTCAACACAGATAGAGTACAAAGGTCAGATATTTCGGGTGGAAACCCAACCAGAGATAGTCCTTACACTGCAAACACAAGACATACTGTGATTCCTTTATCACAGGCTAAGGAAACAAATCTGAAAGCAGGATGGCATTATGAACAGAAGAGAAACTTAACAGGAGATTTGAAGCAATTAATCATAAATTATACAATAATTACTCCAAAAGAAACAAATGGCAAAAAACGAAGAAAGGAAAAACTGACTGCTTCAAATTATTACGAAAAAGTATTTTATCATTTCAGAAAATGACCCCAACAGTATACATACGAAGTGTATTAACTAATAATCCATGGATGACAGGTGAGAAAAATTGGATCCGAAACATTTGGCAAAACTCACTTCAGCGTAAAATTGTCAAATTGCCCGTGCATTCAGTAAATGACTTACACACAGCAGGCGCAGCGTGCGTTTGATTATGCTTGATATTTAGGTAGGAAATGGGCCTGGGAAAGGGAGGGGGCGTGGCTTTCATTTAAATCTTTGGAGTTTGAACAATGATTCACAGCATTTTCAGTTAGCACATTTGTGACCTTGCTTTGAAATGTTTCTTGTTAGAGCTTCATTTACCGCAAAGGATTCTCAATTGCAGATTCGTAAAGCAAACACAAATTTCTTTCCAAATTTATCCTCATTTCAGAGTGTTTGTAATTATCATTACTTTTGCTTTCTACATTAGGTTTTTTGTTGTTTTTAAGAATACTAATGGTTCTGCTAAACAATGAGATTTGTAATATTGGCTATCTGCAGAGACCGCACAATATGCTAAGTTCTGATTTTGCCAATTACAATTCCAGAATGGTCACGTGATTATCAGGCACATGCGCCAGACTTTCAGCGCAATGAGCATTCATGTACATATACATACACTATGTACATGTACATGTAGGCTGTGCATTTGAAAACTGTGTGACAGTATTTAACGGAAGCAGTGATTGTATACCGTTCGGAGTTTGGATGAGGGTGCCAGCATTTTTCATGGTTTCTGCAGCTGAGAGGAAATAATTACTGCATTTTGCTGGCTGTTTTGTTTGCTGCATGGATAATTTGCATTCTCCTACAAGTCCCCCTGATTGGTGGGAGTTGACAAACTGCACCATAAAACAAATCTGCTGGCACGATGAAGAAATTAATGGACAAAAATAAAAGCTTCACGTGCATGAATATATATCACGTGTACACGATCCACACAGCTTTATACATCTTCATGTGAACATACTGGTACGAAAAATCAAGCAAACAAAATGTATCTTCAACAAACAGTCGCATGCATTTTGTAAAAACCAAAATGAACACTTTCATGTTCTTATCACTTGGCATGAAAACATTTACCAGATCGGCAGAGTTCATACATAGCCTAACCTCGGCAGGCACTAGGAAATTGATATTACTGGCATGCGGTACTCTAATGAGCAATAGACTTCACTGCCAGTCTTGTCAGTGTTCTAGCCTTTGAACATGTTCAGTGGACAATTCAATGCTATGCTAAAGGCTGATTTGAGTTTGGCCTACATGGTTCCTCTTGAGTAATTGTACTGAAATTCTAATACAGCTGATGCACACCCATCTGCAATGTGGGATTGTTATCTTCATACACATGCGCATGCCAGCACATTGAATTTTGATGGGGAAGGACTGCAATGCATGACAGACTTGGTCAAGTCTACTCCAAGAGGTGAGATTTTCACTTGTGTTATTGACTAATAGGATTCGAGCTGGCCCTGATTACTGGCTGAGCAGAAAGCATCAGACGGACTTCCCAAATCTATCCAATTACCTAAATTGAGGGACTGCTGAAAATGTCAAACCACTTGAACATGATATCAGATTCCGGCAGCCATGCCCTAACTGCGCTCATGCACACAGGCTGTGCATCATGCTACTGTGCGAGAACGCGAACGGTACATATACAACTGCACGTTGGAAAAAAAAAAGGCTTCAAGACATAAATTTGGTGGAACAGTACCAGACAGTTTTCGACATGGGAAGAGAACAGACTTGTGTCTACATGTAGCTTGTCGACCGTATAGATGAATCCTGCCAACTTTCACTGGACATTTCTTCCGGCCCCCTCTAATGGCCGACAGCAATGCATTGAGATTGGCACGAAGCAACTGTCTTAAAACAGTAGCACTGTTATAGTTGTAGCAATGCTTTCTGCCATTGGTGGGGGCCTCTACAAATGATGAATGATAGCATTACCATGGTTACTGGATTCCTGGAAATCAAATCCTGCATCAACCTTATCAAAGATTTGATTCCCACGAGGGACTGACTCCGTTTCTCTGAAATTTGATTCCAGAAACTTTAAAAAGCACCAAATGAATGCAGAAGAACCTGCAGCTGTTTTCCTAATAAAGTGTCAAGTCTCCAAAAAATTTTAAGGCAGAGAAATATTAAATGTCTTGTTGATATTCTAAAATAGTGAATTACCATTGTGCATGTAAACTCCTGATAGATGGCATTCGTTCACCTTTAATTTCTGCCAGTGAAAAATGATGGACACGCATGAAATTTGAAATCCATTCTAACACATGTTGGAATCGCCCGGCATCATCTGTTGACTTACCTCGGTGAGCAGCCAGGGGTGCTGAGAGGTCAGCTGATCCCAGTCCACCTCCTCGGTAACGGTGGCCCACCTGTTGGGTGCGACCCTGTCGCACTGCAGATGCTTCTGCAGCAAGTTCTTCCCCGTTGCTTCTCTGATGGCCTTAGCTGACATCTTTGGGGGTTGTTATTGTTCTGTAATTCTTTCAATTTCTGTAAAGAAAAAAACAAACAAAACCTTTTAAAGTGTTGAATATGCAAATACATGTATTTGACACGAAAAAAGTGAAACTGAAACTGAATTACCATAAACAGATCTCTTCCGTCCACTGAAATTGTAAATTTAAAAGATACAAATACTGCTGACATTTGCTGCTTAAAAGAACAAAGCCACACAAGCAAGATTCAATCAAAATTTGAATAAGTCAACAGCAATTGAAATATTGCCCACTGTGACAAATATCTTCCTATAAAAAACAAATAAAGTGGAGCAAAAATCAAAACTAACTTTAGCCCGAACAGTCCTCAATCTTCTGATTTCAATATGATTCTGAAATAATAAAAAATATTCCCTCTGGTTTCATATGAAGTTCATATGGTGACGAGTCAATGTCAAACCACTTTTCCTTGCTGTCCTGCTCTCGGTATCCCGGATTTAGGGTGCAAGGGAATTCCATGGCATCCCTCAGGCATTGTGTGGTACCATGACGTCACAAGTTAAACCCGGACGGACACATGTACAACAGGAACAATTTTATGTGTTTTGTTCCTCTGTAGTAAAACTACCAATTGGCCCCAAATCTTTCACTCACTACCCCTGAAAAAGCGTAAATGTATAGAAAGAAAACAAAAGAGTTTGATGCTGGAATATCAGTAAAATCGGACACGAACATGCCAACAAATCCTGGCTAATTATACACAACGATGGGTCGTAAACCACCACCGTGATTTCTAACGGTCATCGCCCGTCACGGACCCGGCACTGATCGGCAGCGGCACGGTGCTGCTGGAAAAAATCATCGGAGCACGTGACGTGAAATTTGTGGTCATTACAGTCAGCAAAACTCGTCAGACAAGCAACTCAGATGAACACGAAATACACTCGATTAAACAGTCATTAATAAAAACCGTGCTTACCTTGCTCTGAGCTTCATAAAATGGTAGGATTTCGGCTCTATTTCTTTTCCCCAAATCCCGGATACACTCGGCAGACCAGCCGTCGTCAGCGTCAACTATGCATTCATATCATTTGCACACATATCATACGCTCTGTACATGTTGTATTGGATATGCACGCAGCATGCGCATGGTGTCATATCACACCACATGTCACTAGTCTAGTGCAATCGTGACACGCGGCGAGCCATGAGGTCAAAATTACCATATCGGCATTATGATTGGCCCATTTTTGTTGAAGATCCTCCTCGTTGCTTCTAATCGTGAATATCAAATAAGATATTTCAATATAAAGTTTTGTTTACCTTAAAAAGTCAGGCAAAAGTGCAATTATCACGCAGGGAAATACATGTAATACATCTCGTGAAACATTTAATTTTATTAAAAGAGCCGAAACAGAGGTTGGCTCGTTCCCATGAACAGTAACGCAGGGTAGAAAAACTACAAAGATTTTTTGGTTCCTTTTCGGTAGCAAGTGCGTGCCGCAAACCAGAAATTTAACTTTAACGAATCTTCATCATATCAATACACTTTCTCATACAGATAAATACCAGAATCAGCTTTTCTGCACCGAGAAACCATTCAAACACGGTATCCTTCACCATCTGCCCACCATCTCCCCTGACCCTTTGTGTGTTTACTTTCATGACACAAAGACTGCCAGGTGCCCTCTACGTGCGTGAGATGGAAAAAGGCATCAGGATGATCATTTTTGTTTTTATTCAACAACATGTTTTTTAAGCAGCCAAATAAATGTTTTCCAGGACCCTTAAATAATTTAAAAACCTGCTATTACAGTAGGTGTACAGTGCACTTTGACATTTAATGATGCTAAAGCAAGGTACCCTGAGAAGTCAAAAATACATGTACAATATGTGGAATGCTTTTGCGTACAAGGGGAGGGGGTGGAGCCATGCGTGGGGGGGTCTGAAAAGTCGGCATTTCGTCGGCTTACAAACTTTATGGGGGCCCCCTAGACACAATTTGTCGACAAATTTGTACTCTTCGTTAATGTTTGAAAACTATTTTTGACATCCCTATAAAGTTAATAAATACATTCAAAAGGGCCCTCTTTTCATACTTTCATGGGCAACCGAGGGCGGTGCAGCTTTGATGTAATCCAGGGAAGACATGGTTCACTGCATAGGTTTTTCTGTTCAGTTATGAACCCAGAAGTTACTTGGTGAAAAGATTTTTGAGGAAGGGCTGCTTCCTTGTTGCTATGCACTTACACAACAACGAATCACAAGAGATAAGAGAAAAGTTAGGCCAGAAAAAAAGTACATGTATTTTATGCATAAGCCAAAGTAACATTGGGGTTTTCCTTCCCAGGATGACATCACAGTTTTGTTATGAATATGGAAATATGAATTAGCAAAAAAACTAAAAGGGCAACAACAAAGCGATGCTTTACCCTTCGGTGGTAGGGGCCGGGCCGGGGCTGAAATGCAAAATATCCATGTAAGTATGGTTTATACGTGATTATTACCCATATTGTGTGTCTGCTAAACTGAAACAATTCCACCGCTGCGAAAATAGCATGCCTATACCGAATCAAAAATGCAAGCTATATTTCTATTTGTAGAACTATTAGAAATGCTCATCTGGGACGTCTTCTGTCACTTCCAATTCCTGAAATGAACCTTTTTTCATACTGCAGCTTCTTATTGGCGCCCTCTTTTGATCACGTCAGTTGACGAACATTTAAGCATTCCTACTTCGTTGGCCGATATCCTGGCCACGGTTTGGTAGGAAACCAATGGAAATCTTTAAACGGTTCCCGCGCTTTCAAGAACACAGGATCTTCCATATGCCCATCACGCGTGAACCAGTGCACGCCGGACGTACATAGTACATGTACACACTTTACGTACGCCTGCACGTACGCGCAATTGTTACTACGCGAGTTTCACATGGACGGACTTTCGATGTGGTCTGCGTAGCTCGATTGAACCCCAGAAGTTTTAAACGCAGCAGTTCAGAGCGACATGTCTGATCAGGTATCACTTTTATTGAATAAATTCCACGTCTATTTCGTTTTATCCATTGGAAGTCCTTTATGTTTCTCAGAGGAGGATGAATAGACCTAGTAGTCAATTGCCACTGTCAGTCTTGCCAGTGCCGATGATTATCATTATACATAGTCCAACACATGTACAGAACAATGGAAATGTGATGCATCAGTATCGTGAAAAAATTGATTGCTGGCTGAGCGCGATCACTTGGGGTTCGGACAACTCGACCGTTTGCCAACTTGACTTCGGACAACTAGATCGTTGTACCGTCGAGACAACTCGACTGTCCCTGGGTAAAAATGAGTGACAAAGCGACCGTGTAGACAAGTTGTCAGTTGAGCATGTTGAGACAAGTACTAATGGTAGGGCCTAGTCCGTTTAGACATGTTGTCCACTCGGCCCGGTCATCTGCTGAGATGACCTTGTGAAATAGGGAAGAGTTCCATATATGGATGGCAGTAATGATTCCCTGCAGTGACCTAATAGCCATCAGAAAGCAAAAACATGTCCAGAAAAGTTAGCTTTAGGAGGGAAAATACCAAGTCGTTCACTGAGAAAACGCTTCAATTTTTCAGACCAGTCTCATAGGGTTTGAGCACGGGGTGTCAAGTGGCATTCTTATATGGAACTCTTTCTGTGAAATACTATGCCTTAATAACGGGTGGGAACTTCACGTAGCAGATAGACAAGCCTAACTTCTGAGGTACTATTATAAAAATTATGATTGCAGTAAGTCAATCTTTGCGTGGTCAATCGATCTTACACCCACACTGACTTAGCCATGGATTTGAGTACATGTATTACAGTAGTTTTCCTAGTTCCTAGGTTTGAATCACTTCAAATAAAAACCAACCTCCTTTGTGGTGTTCTTCAGTTTTACATTCTCAGACAAGTTCTGTTTAAAAGGTGAAATGTAAGCTTGTTGTCGAGCAAAACTTGCTCTCGGACAATTTCTAGTAAACAATTTTTGGCCAGAGTTCCGATTCGCACTTTGACAGTTTTGAACGGTGTGTCAAAAAATCACGAAAGGCAAAAAAAAAAGACAAATATTTACTGGGCGATATGTCACTCACTTTGTGTGGTCCAAAATACTCTTCATACTCAACAGTCATGATGCACAGTTTTGCATCTAATGCCTGTTTAAAATCAAAATGACTTTTAAAGTTTCGGTTTTATTAAAACTGGCCGAAAACTGAACTCGTGTTTTTTCTTCTTTTTGGATCACACAATTTATGTTGTGAACTCAGCTCACCAGGGGCCCTTTAGGAAATCCCGGACCATAAAGCCCCCTTCCAAAACTATCATCTGCAGCTATGACAGCCGTGAAAAGGGCGAATCACATCAGATTAAACACATTAAACATGTTGCTTGTAATTGTATTTGGGTCATTCCATGAGGTTGGGGCATAATTTGTAACGGTGTGCTTGTTACATGGGTAACTTTTACCACCTGTCAAGTGTCATGACCTGTAGAGTAGGTCATTTGCTTTGTAAAAGTAACACACACCTCTGTATTAAGCCTTGCAAGATGTACAGTAATGTCAGTATGGAATCCACATGCAGGAAAATAACAGTTCATTTTACGGAACTCATGTAACTAATGACAATGACCAATCTACATTAACTACAAGTTTTGTTTATTGGGGGCTTGAACTTCACAGGTTGGGCAGGAAAACAAGCCGGGCACCAACGAGGGCGAAAATGCGAAAGGCGCCACTTCGACCGGCACAGACTCGATCAAAATCAAAGTCAGGGATGAGGTAAGCAGGCAGTCATGGGGAAATGTCGTATTTGGATTTTGTTCTGCGGCGCTTTCCGGAGGTTGCTTAGACTTTCCGTCAGAGGTTGTGGGCGAAAGATTGATTCGTCATCGTTTTGATGAATTTCAAACGGAATCATATGCATCATGGACCTTTTTCTTATTGAATTATCCCGACTGGGATGCAGCAACCGATAAAAAGTCTGCCTAATGAAGTATGGTCCTTCATGTGATTGATTAGTCTCACTTTCTGGCCAACAGATGGGCACGGAGGTTCTGTTCAAAGTCAAAATGAGCACTCAGATGAGGAAAATCAAGGAAAAATACTGTGAGAAAGCGGTAAGTTGCCAACAGTGTTTGTCACGAGTTACATGAATTACGTGAGTGGGAGTACCACTTCACTATAAATATGAGTATTTCTGCATGAGTACAAACGTACAAATACTGTGAGTACTTCAGCATTAATATGAGTCCTGCATGAGTACACTCATAAGTACTTTACCGTGATTATAGGTAAACATACTTTTGCTTGTGTGTGAGTACAATCACTTTATAAATGCTGAGTACTTCACCATGAGTATGAGTGCTTCATTGTGAGTATGAGTACATGGGTTTTTAGTGTAAGAATGTGCAAAAATTCAAGTAAGAGTGTGTATGAGTAACGATGATTTGTCAAGCACTTTTCTTACTAGTTGGAGCACACATTTTCCATTGTGAAATCATGGGGGGGTGTTTTGTCTCCAAAATTACTACTTCAAGCATCTTTCATAAAGTTTACCTAAGAGTGAGTGATAAAAATTTGAGTTTCTTGAAGTGGTTCACAGCTTGAAATTAAAGAATTAGAATCTTGAAAAAAATTGTAAGGAGTCCTTGAAGTGACACCAGCCTTTGCAATTTTAATAGATGAACTTTTTCTCAATTTCCTACAGAGTAAAAATGTAAGCAACATTAGGTTTCTCTTTGATGGGGAGACGATAAGTGATGACACAACACCGAAAGAGGTAACAATTATCCCTTTTAAAAAAAAAAAAAAAGCTAAATTAGCTTGTTGTTTCTGTGTCCCCACAGTGGGTGTGACGTATTCAATATTCCAGTCTGTCATTCCGTTTGGAAAAAGTAATTGTTTGCTTACTGTTCCCAAGTTCGTATTTCAATTGCCACAAAAAATGCCTCACCCATGTCGACATGGCAAGTTCCTGACATTACGTGACTTTGAACAAAATGCCCGAACTAGAAATTACACCACAATGCAATTGATGGAGGGAAACCGATGCTCAAGTTGTTTCAGACAATTTTTGGGATTCAGTGCGGTAACGAGAACGGGAAGTCAGACAGAGTATTCTCTCAGTTGCCCAAAAAGCCCTAGATGCAGTAACTGTAAGAAGTGCCGCACAAATTCTGACCAAGTTAAGTTTCTTAAAGCCCTGAGCACAATACCCACTTCCTTGCTTAGAGTAAAAATAATCTATTCATTTATAAGCTCACATTTTATCTAGATGTGTTCAAAAGCGCTGTACAATAAAGACATTAAGCATGGAACAAGGAAGACATTTAAACATGGTTGAGCCGAAGGCATACAAGGGCGCCTCGGGCAGCCACCAAACGACCCATATTCACCAACATCAGTAAAGAGGAGACAGTAAGAAGCAGTTACAGTTTTAGAGGTGGGAGGGAAACCCCAGAGGAATATTCTGGGTAAAACCCACAGAGTCAGGTAGGGACTGAAAACCCAATTCACATGTGGACCGGGCCGGAAACATACAGAAAATCACAGTGCACTTCATCGCTCAGTGGTCAAACGCGCTCACACTCACGATCTTAACCTCAATCTTTCTTAGGTGTTTCAGACTCAAATTTTTCAAAAATGATACCTGGTTTCTTGCAGATGTTCCGGAAAGCCTCTAAAATGCCACTTGAAAAAATGCCCATGTTTAGCAGATCAAAACTTGCAGAAAACTTCACATTTTTTCGTGGACCTTTTGATGAGGAGTTTGAGCAACTCAAACCCCATCCATTCGTGCAGAAATTGCTGAAAATAGCGTGGTTTCCCACAGGCTAGAAATCAATTTTACTGCATGGTTTCTTCGGGCAGTCTAGTGACCCGTTTTTGTGCACAAAAACAATCCATGCGCGCACAGTAGCCCATTTCGGTCAACAACACATTTCGCTTCGGGTCTTTCCCGTCGATTGGGGATTTTCTGAATAAGTCATCATGGTTATGCACGGAGCGGCTGGAGAAAGCTGTACACAGACGAACAGGAACAAAGTAGAGATCTCCTGCGTATTTTGACTAAATTTCCAAGTCGGGAAGCCAATGTACGCCAATATGTGGGTTATCTAAACCCCTGCCAATATTGATAAGACGAGGTACGGTACCTGCTATATACCTGTAATAAGGTAATCTTTTCAGTCCCAATGACCATGTTATGAAACATGTTAAACTGTACCCTGCCGGGGACAAGTTCGTTGTGAAAATAACTTTGTCGGCAAGTGGTTAGCTGGAACTTTTCTTGTCGTTGACAGCTTCAGATGGAGGCGGAGGACATCATCGAAGTGGTCTCATCGCAGACGGGAGGGCGCCACACGCCCCGCTACTGACACCCACTGCTCTGAGACACCTTGAATGTTCATCTGTCCTCCGGGGGGGGCTCTGGTCTGATGCAGGTGGGCTTCTCTCTCTTCAAGAGGAGAACAAAGATGTGACTGGCACGACTAAGTTGTTTTCAATTCCCGTAATCTCTGAGTTTCTCCAAAGTGCGCCCCACTTTGGTCAGTGACTCTGGCAGGGAGCATTTTTCCGCAAGACAACAATTAACCTTGTCCATTAAAATTTCTGCAGTGGATCAAGTACAAGAGACACGTAAATATGGAATTCTTTTTGACGCATGATGGTGGCCACAGAGACAAACGTGTACTTCAGATTTTTTTTTACATGTACATAAAATTTAATTGCTTTGTTATCGGTGAAAAATATGGCAATATTTATTTGGAAAAAACCACCATACTTTATTCTGTGTCTCAAAGTAAAATTTCCTAAAATTCCAGTCATTCCCCCCCTCCCCGCCGCCTTGGTAAGATAATCCCCTCCCCAACAAAATTGACCAAGATACATCCTGAGTTGCACATTGGCATCTTGGTCTAGTAACTGTAGGCAAGGGGGCAGTGTCAAAGCATTCTCCTTTCAAGATGGTTGGCACCATGCCACAATTGTTTTTGGATACTGTAAAAGAAAAGTGGCCTTAGTGAGCCAAATATCCAGGAGTGCTGAAGTTGCGATTGTCCGTGGCCATAGAGTCAAGTAATTAGAAAAAAGCACCCAGAGGTCCTGTTTGTCAAGTTTAAGATGTACATGGTTTTTTCCCAGACCTTTGATGTAAACGTGCGGTGTTACATAGGACGTGCCCTCCACAATGTTCACGTATCGGAGTTTCCCTTCCCTTTTTTTTCGGTACATGTATTATATGCACATGCAAATGCTCCTTGGGAAAATGTACAGCAGTGTAAACTCCATTGTATCCCTAGTTTGTGTATGCTGCCAAGATGTGTGGAGTTTTTCATACACTGCATTAACCAAAGATTGCCGTCGGGAAACTGACTTGGACCCGTCTTTGCCAAGAGAATCTATATGATTCTGCAAGGGCCACAATTTGAATGTTAGCGTTTGTTTCCGTCATTCTTGTCTTGTTTCGCGAAACATTTTTTGAAACATTGAACTTGATGTATGTACAGTGTGTCAAATTAAACCAATTGGTTCATTCCATTTACAGATTTAGGGGTAAACAAATACACTATCTACAGGCTTCAGGTTTTAGTGTTGTAACAAGAACCAGTCTTCAGAGTTTTTGTGTTCACCTGTCTCGAATTTGTACAAAAATCATAATAAAGCTAAGAGAACGGGATTGATGAGATCTAGTTGTCAACGGAGGGGTTTTGTTCAAGATAACAAATTGGTCTTCAGAACGTCAACCTTATGCAATTGGAACTAATTTTTTTTTTTGTTTTAAACTGCTAAGCTTAGGATGTACTGGGCATGTAGCAGTGCGAAATACCAGCAAAAGGGTATACATACGTAATGAGATATTAGCTGGTAACCAGGGATATACGCTCAACATCTTAAGCCCAGCAGTTTTTCAGACCCAGGTGATTGAATAAAATCAAGAGCCTTTTTTTTTTTTTCATTTATAAGGAGACAGTTGATCGGTTGCTGCGTCAGGTGTTTTCAGTCGTTCTCTCTTCAGTGTAAAAATAATGTGTTGGATTGCTTGCAGGTAAATGAAGAGTCGTTTCTCAAATAAGATTCTGTCCAAAGGGGGAAATAGGAGAAGAACCAGGAGTAGGAGTTTTGTGTGGTGTTCTAGTTCGATGTGTTTTAGGTAATTTTAGCCAGAAATTTATCTTTCTATATAAATACACTGTAATATGAAGACGCATGTGAATATAACCCTCATGCATTGCTTACTGTACAGTTTAGTACTAGTGTTGTTACCTACCGTATCACATGCTTTTAATGGAATCAGTTCTTTATCGTAGATTTTGCTGTCTTTTGTTTCTGTCTTATTGGCCAAAGAGGGCGAATTGGCACGACTGAGCTAAAACCGCCAATTTTGGCTTGGTATTTTGTGAATTTGATTGTTTCATTTTTCTAGTCTAGTCTCTAAGTGTCGTTTTTCCTTCACCTAAACTGTACACCGCCTGTACCTTGTTCGTTTTGGTCATGTTCCCTGACCCATAAATGCAAGTACCAGCCTGATTTTAGTCAGTCTTGATGAGTCGAGGTCAGTTAAGTTAGGCACAAACCGGAAGTCAGGGCTAACTTGACTTGTCCCCTGGTAAACTGGGCGCTAACAGGAGAAGCAGCGCGCCTTGGAGAACGTCAAATTGAATGTAAATATGGCCCGCTGACCTGTCTCGGTCAAGTGAAACTTTCAGCAGGGGTGAGATTTGTAAGGATTTTCCCTGATTTGGGGTTTCGTTTTAAATGATCCCTTTAAAAATGTTGGAAATACTGTGTAAAATGAAAGTGTTTTGGGGTATAAATGTTGATATTGAACACAAGATATGGGTATCAAACAGATGCAGTCATTGCATGTATAGACAAACACAAAATGAAGTTTACCATAGATTCCATGCTACCGTGGGGCCCTCAAAGCCTCCGAGTACTTTTGTAGATCTTTAATTTTCCTCCAGTCTGACTCCAGACTCGGCCTAATTTTACTGGCTATCAAAAAGAGAGCCGAGGTACTTTAAAACGTTTGGATTTTCGGCAAGCTTTGAAAAGTAAAAATTGTATCATATTCGTCTTTTTCTTCTCGAGTTGAGTGCACATCGTCAAGTAAACCCATTCTGGTTGAAAAGAAGAGCACTTTTCAAATCAAATTTTATGTTTGGGTTAAGGGGATTGTGAAGTCATTGCAAACGTATAAGGACTTGTCAATTTTCCATTTGTTTAAAAAAGTTTCCACCAGATATCAGTGTCTTTGTTTTTCGTGCGTGTCGTCTGCCGCTGGATACCGTCTCTTTCTCTGTACAATGATACTTTCAATAAAATTCATTTTGAGAACGGCGTGTATCAATGTGGAATTATTCATTGGCGTTCACTGGTTGGAGCGAGTAAATAAAGTGGCTGCACGCCCCTTTGTTTTATACAGTTTTCGAATTGAAATAGAGATTGAGAGTTAAAAGTCAATTCAAGGGTGAAATGGATAGCCGAGTTGTCTATTTGGATCAAACCAGAACTTCGTTGTACAAGGTCGGGGGAGGGGACTTTGCTTTAAACAACAGATACTTGTCGTGTACTTCGACAGAAGTTTTTACCAATTTGATTATAATTACATCATGTACTTCAGTCCACCCTCCATTTCCAGCAATCCTCTCTTTCGAAAACCTTTCTATAGTTCCATGCGACACATAGCACTGGACACACCACAATCATCACATCAAGTCGTGTTCCCTTCTCTATGTTTTATTTAACGGTGAGGTTCATTCCCTTTTGTACAGCCCTTAACGAGAAACCTCTGATGAAAGAAATCCAACCTGTGCCTTGTCAGAACGTCTGAAAACGCCAGGGATACTTGCATAAATACATCAAGATGAATCTCTGCCGTTGAAGCATTTTTTTTTTAATTTCCAGATTCAAGTTGCCCGCTTTTGACAAGATAAATGTAATTTGGATTTCGGCCAAAATTCCATTCAGTAGGTATGATTTTCAGTTAGTGGCCAAACCTCCATCCAGCATGCATGTACAGCGCATGCAGCCAGTTTGTCCATGTTTGACTTAAACCCTTCCTCTTATGCGCTGTAAAATAATTTTCCACCTCATTTGTCCTGTCAGGAGACGAAGAAAGCTCGATTTGACTTGAATCATGTTTACAGGTTCAACCATCTTCAAAAATGCGATAGCACACTATTGGTATCCGTGTAGCGATTTTCTCCCTAAGCTCTTTAGAAATGAACAGCACCGTCTCAGCGGCCTTTGAGGCACAATGTCCACATGGTTTAGCTTTGCACGGTCGTTACATTAACATAATGTAATATACCCCTCATGGGTGTGGATTGTTGGGGGGGGGAATACATAGGTCGGCGAAAGCAACGCCACTGAGCCCCTCTGAAGTGAAATGAACACCCATGATGTTCCCGTCAGATTGCGGTACGTTGATGAGGACTCTAAGTGGGAGCTCTACTCAAAACCCTTCAAATGTTAAAAACAAAAGATGATTAAAATTGGAGGTACGACACAGTGGGCTGAACAACCGTAATCTGGCCAAGAACCAAAAAAGTTACGTTTCTGGTTACCTGAAGTAACTTTGGAAATCAAACACCCTGTAACTTTTCTTTATTTGAAATATTAATAAGAGAAAAACTTTCGGAGCTGATCCCAAGCCAAATTTGTGTAAAAAAAAACACACCTTTTTTTTGGGGGGGGGAGCTGTAGAGGTGACACAGAACCATGCCTGCATTAAAATTCTACGTCAACTAAACAAGATCCCTTCGATTGTGTCCTACAATAGTTATGGATATGAATATAACACCTTTTCAAAAGTCCAATTACCTTTAAAACAGAACATAAATTTTTGAACCCTAAAATCGGACACACAGAAGTAGGACTAAAATGTCTACTTACTTTACGTTATGAATATACTGATTTGTCGGTAAGTGTCCATTACAAAATTTAAAAAAAAAGAGCCCCAGAAACAAGACTTTTTATTCCAGTGCCTCACCAAAGGGGCTGGCTCAGCACAGATTCTTTGGTAAATAACTCCTTGCTACCAGACTTGACCACACCTGCCTAGCGAGGGGGGGGGGAAATCATTACTCGAAACGTAAGGAGAAACTGATAGAAACTCAGAATTCCCAAACAGTAAGCAACACTTTTGGTCTGCCTGGCCATGGGTGAGGCTTGTGTACGTATTTAAGTTACTGACGACAGAATGGTTAAAACTTGATTTACGCTGAACGAAGAGCATTTTTGTTTCTACATTTATATACACTTGAAACATTACAACAAAACAGAAACCTATGTACAGCTGTTAAAAAATAGTTCCTTTTTACATCCTATAAACAGTTTGTCTTTTCCTTCTTCGTTATGTTCTGGGCTTTATCTTCGAAGGGAACAAGAAGCTTGAAATCTGGAGAACTAGGCTGAGATATGTTGAGGGCAGCATACGTGCATGCGCCTGTTTACACAAAACATCCATGAAAGGCAAATACATGCAATCCACTGATCAACATGCCCATTTGAAGCAAGATATGGAACGGAGAGAACCCCCCCTTTGTGTTGGTCATGGTTTGATCGGAATCTCAGGAATTCTTTGCAGACTTCTACGGGGGATGTGTAAGGTAACAATAGTCTAGAGTG